TCAAATATATTCTCTTATCCTTGCTCATTTTCTTCTTCTTCTGGTACTCCTATGATGTGGATGTTGTTACGTTTCACATTGTCCCACAGCTCTCTTAAACTGTCCTGTTTTTTAATTGTTCTTCCTTGTTGGTTCTCTGATTGGGTGATTTTTTTCTACCCTGTCTTCTAATTTGTCAGTCTGATCCTCAGCTTTATCTAATTTGGTGCTTATTACTTCCAATGTGTTCTTTATTTCTGCTATGTCCTTCTTCATTTCTGCTTGGTGGTTTTTCATTTTCAGTCAGTTGATTTTCATTGTTTCTATATCTTTACTCATGCTGTTGAGCTTCCTTATAATCATTACTCTCTGATAACTTGCTTAACTCCATTTCATTTATCCCTTTTTCTGTAGAACTCTCTTGTTTATTCATTTGGGATTTGTTTCTTTGTTTCACCATTTTGGCTGTCTCAGCAGGGTTTGGAGTCTGCCAAATTTTCCCTGTGAGTGTTGTGTTCCACTGATTGTGGCTCTCTCTGCTGGGTTTGGATGATTATGGAAGAAACCGTGCTAAACCAGTGTTTAGTCTTACTTGCCTTGGTAGAGTCACAGGCCAAGCAAAGATTCAGTTATCCCAGAGCTTTTGCCTGCAGGCTGACTATTAGTCTCAGTTACTTAGGGAGCCTCAGGTTGTAGCCCTCAGCTGAATGCACAATCCCATGGGTGGGCAGGGTAAGAGGATTTCCAGTTGGTGGGGCAATTGCTTCCCTTGGGCTAAAGTTGCTTTGAGATGAAAATGGTTTCTGCAGTGTGGGTTATTGGCCCAGTGCAGGGACCCAGACCTGAGCCTTCACAGCCCAGTCCCCAGAGCCACAGCACCCAACACTGAGAGGCCCAAGGGCTCAAAGCCTTCAGAATCTTGTCTCTGCCAACTGGCCTGCTGGTAGTCTCTGCCTGATAATGAGCCTCAGGTTGCACTTCTCCAGGTCAAGTGGTATCAAATTCCCAAGGGAGGGGGAGTTGCTTCTCCCCCAGCCTAAAGCTACTCTGATGGTACTACTTGACAGAGATGGCTCCTGAAGAATGGGGGAGTGGCTCAGCATAGAAATTCAGACCTCAGCCTTCACAGCTCAGTCCCCAGACCCCCAACACTGAGAGCCAGATCCAAACCTCAAAGCTTTCAGAGGCTCTTCTCTGCCTACTGGCTGGTAAGTAGTCTCTGGCTGTTAATGAGCCTCAGACTGCACTTCTCCGGGCCAAGTGGTGTTAAATTCCCAAGGGAAGGGCAGTTGATTTTCCCCCAGGCTAAAGCCATTCTGGGATAGGGCTTCTTGAGTAAGATGGCTACTCTCTTATGGGGGAGTGACAGCATAGAGCTCCTGATGGCCTCCTTCCCAGCTTTCTCCCTCGTGCTCCAAACCCCTGACTCTTTTCACACAATTCCAGTCCAGTCTGCTCTCCCTCTGCTGGAGCCCAAGGTGGGTGGCTGTAGCTGTAATTTAGTGCACTGGCCCTTCAGGGAAGTGCCGATGTTTTCTCTCTCTGCCAGACAAAACCTCTGCTCTGGTCATTTTTCTTAACCAGGTGTTATGTGGGCACCTTTGCCTATTCTACCACTCTGTGTTGGGGAGCCGGCTTGGGGTTTTAACCCCCAAAGTCTCAGAGGGAACTGCTCACAGCTAAGACAGCCCTCAACTGCTGCCCATGGACACCCAGCCAGCCCTCTCGCGCCTCTGAAGCTCCTACCAGTCTTGATTTTGGGTCCTTTTTATGTACCTGGTTATAAGGGTTCTCTCCAGCTGATCTTCAGTTGGTTTATCCAGATGACTTGTTTTTATTTTAGTTGTAATTCCAGTTTGGTCCTGGGAGACAGTCTGTTTGGCTTCTATTCACTCCACTGCCGTTTTTTGTATCCTTATTGCTGAGTTTTAAGAGTTCTTTGTATATTTTGGATAACAGTCCTTTGTCAGATATGTCTTTTGCAAATATTTTCTCCCAATATGTGGCTTGTCTTTTCTTTCTTTTGAGAACTTACTTTTTAAAAAATTTTGATTCATGGATTTACTTGCCCTTAGGAAATGGGTATTGGCAGGGCTTTTGGTTTTGGCTTCATGTGTTGGGAGTCCCCATACAACAGCATCCAGTGAGTTGTCCCCTATCTAGTTAGTACTTAAGAAGACTGGAAGTACTCTATTACATAAAGTTAATCTATCTGTTTAACACTTTCATCTACTTATACCCAGAGAAAAAAGTCACACTGCCCATCTCTCCTTCTGAACTGGACCTCTAGCTTTAGATCCCTTTTGGTGACTTATTTTAGCTTTTAAATTGTTCTTGGTATTCACATTGAGCTGTTTTCATCTGCTTTATTATATTGTCATGGTGAGAGTGGACCATGGTATCATCTGTCCCTGTTGTACTCTATCTAGGGCTGTGCTTTTTCCTAGAACTTAAACATCCCAGTTTAAGTTCTTATCCTTTTTTTTTTTTTAACCTCACCCGAGGATATTTTTCCATTTTTTGTACAGATAGAGTGGGAGGGAGAAAGAGAGAGAAACATCGACGTGAAGGGACACATAGAGTGGCTGGCACCCGCACGACCAACCAGGGCCGGGGACAAACTGCAACCGAAGTACGTGCCCTTAGTGGGAACCGAACCCGGGTCTCTCCGGACCGCAGGCCGACGCTCTAACCGCTGAGCCAAACTGGCCAGGGCTCCTTTTTTTTTTTAATCCTCACCCAAGGACATTTTTCGATATTTTGTTCAGATAGAGTGGGAGGGAGGGAGAGAGAGAGAGAGAAACATCGACGTGAAAGGGACACATCGAGCGGTCGCCACCCTCACGACCCAAGCGGGGCTGGGGACAAACTGCAACTGAGGTACGTGCCCTTAGCGGGAACTGAACCCGGGTCTCTCTGGACCGCAGGCCGACACTCTAACCGCAGAGCCAAACTGGCCAGGGCAACATCCCAGTTCTTGAAGAATGGTAGCTATATATTAATAGTTTCCACCAATGACAGGTTTGGAGACTGGGTTTTGCCTGTTGACATCTTTTACTCTTGAGTGAAAATGGTATCTTCAAAGATGTTTTTCATGAAACCTCCACACAATTATTTGAATTTGGATAGACATGGACAGACTAACATTTTGTTATTTTCCTTCACAATCCACTGAGCTCACTCTGCTGAGCTGTGTGTGAGTAGTGGGAAGAAATAGCATTTGGACTATATGTGGCCTGGCTCTGTCTGCACCTCTATTGCCATTTCCTGCTGTGACACTAGAAAGAAACGTTGAGTTTTGTGGAACATTTTCCAACTAGTAAATGGATAACTGCCAACTCAATGGTCTGATGAAGAGAAACAACCCCTCCTTCAATCCCTGTGAATTTAACCCAGACAGATGTCAGGAGTCAAAGAGAACCCTGCCAGATTCATAGCTTTGCTAATATAGGAGTGAATGAACGGAGAGAGAATAGCTGTGAGGGAGATTGGGGAGGGGGTGGGAATGGTACAAGGCCTCAGTCTTTCAGCACTCCCTGGGTTCCTTTGGCCCGGTATCTGAATATTAGAAACATTAAAAATGAACAAACAAAACAAATCGTTCGCTGGCCAGAAGCTTAACTGCAGCTGCTAAAACATAGATCAGGGCAGTGTAGTCTTGAGTCAGCAGCTTCTGTCTTTGTCCAGTTGCCCCTAGTTATGTGTATTATCTCACTTAATCTTCAAAACAAACCTGTGATAGAGACATAAAATATCCACCTTTCAGCTAAAGAAACTGAGGCTTACAAAGTTGAAGTAACTTGCTCAGGATCACACAGCTATGAAGTATTAAAGCCACATTCCATATCAGGTTGTTCACAGACTGGAAGGGAAAGTTGAAAAATGGGTAGAACCCATGGGATCCTAGGCAGCACAGAAGCCAGGCAAAGCTGTATCACAGACTAGTCTGATGTTGTTACCACACTTGGCACTTGTACCACTGTTTGTTCAAGATGCAGTGCTATTGGACTCTTGATTCCCCACCATGGAGACTTTACCAATCATTCCTTTGTTTTTGTGTAATTCTTTCAAAATCCGGGTCAGAACACCTAGTTGTTGGGCCTTATTTCAGGAAATAGAAAGGAGTCTGTGGCCTGTCTGGCTTCTGTCAAGGAGGGTTGGGCCCTGCTTCTCACCAAGACTGATACAATCAGAGACTCCTCCCAAATAGGAAGAGTATTTGGATGCTGAGCATCAATAATACAAAGGACAGATGTCTATTATACAGCCATGGGGTGCAGATGTCCATGTGGCACTCTGCTGAGGACTGGTCGAACTGGGAAGCTGTATCTCCCTGTAAGCCAGGTTGTTTTTTTCCTGAGACCAGGGTCTGCCTAACACAGTCCAACATAACTTTTAGGCATTACACAAAATACTGTATATGGGTTTTCACCTAAGGACCCCTGGCTGTTTCTGATTCACTAAAAGTGACCACCAAAGAGATGAGTGACCGGCAGAACTAAACAGCTGTTAGGATCAGTCTAGGGAGGGAGCATGTAGAAGAGAGATCCATAGAGAAAACCCCTCCCTAATTTCTGGGCTTAACTGATCCTCACTGTGATGTCTTAAGACACTGATTTTGTATATTTCTGGGAAATATTTCATTATATCTTTACCTGATTAACTGTATGAAACATTTCCTTGTGCTGGGAAGGAAAAAGAATTAATGTGCATGGCCTTTCTTAGTAATTTGTTTGCATGTCTTTCCTTTCTTTGCCTTAAGATTAGGGACCATATCAGTTTTGTAACTTCAGCATCTAGCATTGTGCCCAGCATACAGTAAGCATTTTAAAAAGTATTTGACTGACTGAATTTTTCATAGAAATCTTTTTCTGAAACTGAATTGATTCTTGTGAAATGCTGGAGAACTTATAGTCATGTGTGTTTGAAACATTTTGAAAAATTTTAAATTAAAAAATAATTTTAAATCTGCTGTAGGAGAAAGGACCACGGTGACATACTCTTTACTTGTGTTGTTACAGGTGTTCCAGGATTTGGGGACTGAAGTACTGTCTGGAGCTTCTAAAGGCTATAACATATGCCTTTTTGCCTATGGACAGACAGGGTCTGGGAAGACATATACCATGCTAGGGACCCCCGTGAGTACTAGTATTGGAATGAGATTTCTTCTTGCCCTGGCCGGTTTGGCTCAGCGGTTAGAGCGTCGGCCTGCGGTACAGAGAGATTTCTTCTTAATGCTACAGCAAGCCTGACTATTGCATTGTCCTTGTCACTGAGAGAGACTGTGAGTTTCATAGTCAACTTTAACAATATTTCTACTGTATTAGAAATGCGTTTCTCAGTAGTCTAATTGAAGGGTAAACTTTGAATAATTAGCTCTCTTTATTAAACCCTGAAGAATCTTAGACTTTGACAACTCTCTTTGATGAGGCAGACCTTGTCAGTCCTGAATTTCTCATATCATTGATAAGACCCGGACTGAATCCTACGTGCAGGAATGAGGCTATGAGTGTTAAGCCTTAGTGTTAGAAAGAAGCAGGAGAACCAACTGCTGGGATGGGAGCTTTCAAAAGTATGTAGAATTTAAGAGAGCCTTCTTTTATCATGGAAAATTAGAAGGGTAGATTTCCTTAAGAATATCTCCTTATTTTAGGGTTAGAAGCCCCCTGGTGAGATGAACAGGTAGAGCAGTGACAAATAACACCACACAGGGACATTCTCTAGAACACCATTCCTCCTGAAAGACTATTCTTGCTGACTAGGGCCCAGCTCATGCTCACTATGTCCATGTTTAGTGTGATTTTATATATTTGAAGTTAAAAGAAGAAAATGCCCATTAAACCAGGGTTATAAGACCTTTGACCTGAGTACAGGTTAGCACTGGATCCAAGATGAAAAGCCACTTCTCTATTAAATATATAATTTGAACACCCTTGTACTCTGCTTCTCCTGTGTGTGTAAAAATAGGAGGCAGATTCTAGGAGGAACTGCTGTGGTAAAGTGGGTTTGTGTAAGAAGAATAGACTTCATTTCACAAAGCAGGTATCTGGGTTTGCTAGCTGCTTCTCTCTTCCTTCTTTTGGTGGTGATCTGCCTCTCAGCTGGTACATTCCTCCCATGAGCGTCTCCGGAGAGCACTGGCAAATAGAGTCTTCTACATACCGTCTGCGAAACTCCCTAAAGGGAAGAGGCTAAAACAAGGAGTCCATGTGCCTGTCCCACTGCTGGGGGCAGTTCCTGGGTGTCAGGGCGAGAGCATCACCGTGAATGAATAGTAATGCTTTTGTTTCTTCTGTTCTCCAGGCCTCTGTTGGGCTGACACCGCGGATATGTGAGGTATAGACTCTCTTTTGACTGGATCCCCTCAAAGTAGGTCTTCTTTGTACACTCCAATGAAATTTCAACCCTTCTGGTTTATGCAGGGTCTTTTCATCAGGAAGGAAGACTATGCCCCACTACCTTCCTCCTGTAGGATAAAAGTAAGGTAAGAACCTACCAGGCTTTGGGACCTAAAATGTTTCTATTTCCACTTCAAATTCTGGCATGTTCAGCTGTTTTCTTTGCTTCTACAGTGATCCAGAATGGAGAAAAGCTATAGCTGAAATATCTTGCAGTATAGAGAGAGGAGAAACTTAGGTCTTTGGGTTGTAGAAAGCTTAATTCCTATACTCAGGCTTAATGAGCAGGTGTCTCCTTTGTACCAGTTTGCCCTGACTGTCTAGTTTCCTTTCCTTCACTCTCTGTACAGCTTCATACTAGTTGGTAGAATTTCTTCTCCAGCTCCCTACTGTGTTATTCTCCAGGTCAGCTGTTCCCAAACCCTAGTTCCCAGACTGGTGCTGGCTACTCCAAGATGAAGTTTTAACCAGTCTAGTGAAAATGTTGACAGAAGGTTACCAGTTGCCCTTAATTCTCTGTATTCTTTGTGTATATGTGTGTGTGTTCAATGTTTTTTTAAAAATTTGAGATAGAATTTATAAACCATAAAACTCACGCTTTTAAAGTATATAATTCAGTGATTTTTCCTGATATTTAAGATTGTCCAGCCATCGTCACTATCTATACCAGAACATTTTATCATCCCCCAAAAAGTAAATGTTTTTTTGAACATTATTTTTACATTTTTTTTCCTCACCTGAGGACACACACACACACACACATATATATATTTTTTGGCATTTATCTTCAGATAGAGCAGGAGGGAGAGCAGGAAGGAGAGAGGGCAGGGGAGAGAGAGAGAAACATCAATGTGAGAGAGACACATGGATTGGTTGCCACCCACACAACCCCAACCGGGGTCAGGGACAAACTGCAACCGAGGTACATGACCTTAGTGGGAACTGAACCTGGGTCTCTCTGGTCTGTGCGCTGATGCTCTAACTGCTGAGCCAAACTGGCCAGGCTATTTTTACATTTTTGAAGTTTGCGAAGTAAAAATGTGCAAACCTGTGTGCTTGTGCATATGTGTGTGTATATATAAACATATATATGTATATGTAAATGTTTTATTGTCTATGAAATATGGGAACCACTATTCTAAGAGACATCTGGGGTTCTTGTGTCTAAGTATGAGAATGTGAAGGAGCAATAATTTATAAGGAGAATGTACATGGAGTTCAGCTTTCAGCTGAAGCCTTTTTTTCTGACTGCTGACTCCGGCAAGCATCTGTATTCTGGTGAGGAAGACCTTTCTGTGGAAGTCTGCTTTCTTTTTTTTTATCCTCACCCAAGGACTTTTTTTCATTTTTTGTTCAGATAGAGTGGGAGGGAGAGAGAGGAAGAGAGAGAGAGAGAGAAACATCGACGTGAAAGGGACATATCGAGTGGCTGCCACCCGCATGACCAACCAGGGCCGGGGACAAACTGCAACCGAAGTACATGCCCTTAGCGGGAACCGAACCCGGGTCTCTCCGGACCGCAGGCTGACGCTCTAACCGCCAAGCCAAACCGACCAGGGCGAAGTCTGCTTTCTTGTGTATCAAAATATTTACTGATTTTAATAATGACTTATAATTGTTATTATTTTTAAAAGGAATAAAATGTCAGTAGATTCCTATAAGTTAAAGCATATCTGAAACAGAATCCCAGTATATAAAACTGATAAAAAGAATTATCCTACTTAAATTAGGGGTGAGGACCAAACCCTTATCACTTAGCTTCCTTCATTACTCAGCAGTAGCCCTTGAGATGCCTTCACAGAAGAAGAGTTTAAAGATCACATTTGAAAACTACTTCAACAAACAAGCTTGCAGACTCTGTGCTGTGGGGCCTGATAAAGGCACAGGCTGGTGGCAGCACACCCTAAAACCATGCTGAAGTAGCCTATTGATGGCTAAACTTGAATCAGTAGTGACATGGTGCTAAAATATGCTAAACCTAAAACTGACGTGTTAATATCCAATGCTAAAAACCCTATTGTATTCATGTAGAAAAAGACTCAAGGGGAACCCTGGTGTGATCAATGTCTTAGGGTGTCAAAGATGGAACTAGAACAAGATTTAAGACCTTCTGATAGTTAATTTGGTGTTTTCCCACTTGCTTGAAAATCTAATCATGTTGCCTTTTTTTCAAAATCTAATTTTGAAAACATGTCACCATTTTTCAAAATCTAACTATGTGCCTTTTCCCACATGTCTGTAGTTTTCTGGAAATCTATAATGAACGAGTAAGGGATCTGTTGAAGCCATCTGGTCAAAAAAAGTCTTATACCCTGCGGGTCAGGGAGCACCCAGAGACGGGGCCCTATGTACAAGGTGAGCCACTGTGATCCTGGAGGTCTGAGACCAAACCAGAGCCAGGGAAGCTCTCCTAATGGTCCTTATGTCAGTCAACAAATGTATATAATGAATACTCTGTACCAAACGCTGGGTATGTACCAATAAATAGAAAAGACAGTCCTGCCCTCATAGGAAAGCTTACAATTTTGTCGGGGTGAGTCAGAAAGCAAGCACTTAATTACAAGTTGTGTTAATGGCTAATGAAAAAATAAATAGATGTAGTGATGGAAAAAGATCATTGGGTGTTGTAGGCGACCCATCTGCATGGGGCATCTAGGAAAAGCTTCTCCGAGGAGGTAACAATTTAAGCTGAACGTTGAGGGGATACAGGAGGCTGTCATGTGAAGGAGGGTGTATTGAGGGGAAGAAGGCTTCAGGGAGAGGGAACAGCATGAATGGAGCCCTGAAAGAATTGCTGGTGGTTTCAAGGAGGTCAGGGTGTCTCAAGCATGGTGACTGAGAGGAAAGTGTCATGGGAAAATGTTGGGTCTGTGGTACCAGATCTAGCAGGGCCTAGACTGGTTCCTGGGCAGTCAGACTCCTTTTCAGGGCACTTGCTCTTCCATTGGAGGTGATAGGGAGATGGGGAGATGTCAGACTTGGAGCAGGGTCTGAGCTGTTTCCTCATCACGTGTGATATTTGGTATTTGGTACTATCAGTCTTATTCCATTAGACTCAGTCTTGCTATTAAGTAAGAACAGTTAGGTTCTTTTGTGGAAGAAGTTTTTACCCTTTCAGGCCACTCATAAGAAGTAACATATATTTTATGCTCTTATTCCCTCAGTAACACACTCATTTAAATTCTGACAAGGTGTGGGACATGAAAGATCAAGAGTTGGTCTCTTTTCTGAACAGGGCTTGGCAGATGGATGACTCAGTAGGTGTGCCAGTCATGATTCTGCTACCTGTATCTTTCCCCAAACTTTCCATCATAAATGGCAGCCTAAAAACAACAAAAATACCATATGCTTTGTTGGGAGCCGGTTGGAGTTTCCTTTGTGTCAGATGCTGGCCTTATCTTTCTGGTTTTCCATCTTCCCCCAATACATGGCCTGGAAATTTTTTTACTATCTATTTATCCCTCTGTACCTTCAAGCTGGTGTATTTTATAGTTCATCCAGCTCTTTGTTTCAGGACCTTTTTAAAAAAATTTTTTCACAGTTTTATTGAAATATAATTGTTATACATCACTATATAAATGTAAGGTGTACAGCATAATGGTTTCTTATACATATTGTGAAATGATTACCACAGAAAGTTAACATCCATCATCTCATATAGAAACAATAAAAAGAAAAAGCAAAAAAAAAAAAAAATTTCTCCTTGTGATAAGCACTCTTAGAATTTATTCTCTTAACCACTTTCATATATATCACAGGATTGTTAGCTGTAGTCATCATGTTGTACATTATTACTTTCCTAGTTCTTAATTATAACTGGAGGTTTATACCTTTTGACTACCTTCCCTCATGCCCCCCCACCCCCCACCCCCAGTAACCACACATCTGATCTCTTTCTGAGTTTGGGGTTTTTTTTAGATTTCACATATAAGTGAGCCCGCACAGTATTTGTCTTTCGTTGTCAGACTTATTTCGGTTAACATAATGACCTCAAGGTCCATCCATATTGTTGCAAATGGCAGGATTTCCTTGTTATCTTTTTAATGGCTGAATAATATTCCATTATGTGTATGTCACACACACACACACACACACACACACACACACACACTGCAACTTATTTATCCATGCATCCATTTGATGGACACTTTGATTCTTCGCTATTGTGAATATTGCTGCTATGAACTTGGGGGTGCAGATATCTTTTTGAGTTAATGTTTTCATTTCCCTTGGAAATATTCCCATACCCAGCTCTTTTTATTTTTTTATTTTTTTTATTTTGTTCAGATAGAGTGGGAGAGAGAGAGAGAGAGAGAGAGAAACATCGATGTGAAAGGGATACATCAAGTGGTTGCCACCCTCACAACCCAACCAGGGCCAGGGACAAACTGCAACCGAGGTACATGCCCTTAGCGGGAACCGAACCTGGGTCTCTCTGGACTGCAGGCCGACGCTCTAACCGCTGAGCCAAACCGGCCAGGGCCCCAGCTCTTTTTAATAGTCTTTAGTAGCAGGGTTGGTTTATATTATCTAATTTGCTACTACCAAAAGCAGAAGGTATTCATCCTTATATTTTTTAAACTTATAAAGTATTTCAAACATACACACAAATAGATAGACCATAATGAACCCCCCATGTATCCACTACCAGTTACAATAACCATTAACCCTTGACCAGTTCTAATCTATATACAGTCCTGTCCACTTTTCCCATCCTATACTATTTTGAAACAAATTTCAATGTCACATTAATTCATTTGTAAATATTTTAGTATGTAGCCCTAAAACATAAGAAATGCTCCCTTCCCTTCCCTTCTTTCTTTTCCTTCTTTCTTTTTATTTCCTTCCTTTCTTCCGTTTTTTCCCCTTCCCTTTCCTTTCCCTCCCTCCCTCCCTCCCTCCCTCCCTTCCTTCCTTCCTTCCTTCCTTCCTTCCTTCCTTCCTTCCTTCCTTCCCTCTTTTTATTTTATATTTTCCATCACCATTTATCCTCTCTAGGAATTTTTTTTTAAAGAAAACATAACCACAAAACTAGTATCACATCTAAAAACAATAATTCTTTAATACAAAAAAAACAAAACAACTTTAGTCAATGTTCAAATTATTTTGCTAATTTTAGTGTAATTGTATTCAACAATGAGCCTGTGTAGTTACTTTGCCCCTGAATCTCTAACATAGAGATTCACTAGCACAGTTATGAAGGCCCTTTTTGATTTGGTCAGTAACCAGTCATAAAAATTTACTTTCATGACCTCAGGCAACTCTTCACCTGTCTGAATCTTCCCCATTCTATAGTGGCCAAATTCAAGTCTCACTTCCTCCATGGAGCCTGCCCTGATCACTTCTCCGATCTCCTGAGTATTTATTATCTTACTCCTGTGGCACTTGACCAGATTGTCATGCATAGTGTAACTTCTCGTGATTGTAAATTGTGGGAAGACAAGGACATGTCTACTGTATTTTTTGTATGCCAAACTGAGTCTGTCATCTTGTGAGGAGATAGGACCTCTATACTTCAGGAATTTAGTGAGGGCCAAATGAAGTAATATATGGAACTTTTAAAAATAACCTACATAGCAAAACTGTAAGGAATTTTATTGTTATTGTTTGGTTGTTGTTGGCATAACTACTATATGAATTAGTCTTCAATTATAATTTCTGTGAGCCAATCACAATGCCTAACAGTAGGCTTTCAATAAATATTTGTTGATTTAATTTTTTATCTGAATGATTTAGAAAGTTCCCTCGTGTCAACTACATAATATAAAAGAAATGATAAAGTTAAAGACTTACAGGAAACGGTTAAGCTTTACTTAAAATTTTATTTTACTTTTTTCTCCTTTGCAAATCTGATAGGTTTATCTCAACATGTAGTTACCAACTATAAGCAAGTAATTCAACTCTTGGAGGAGGGAATAACAAACAGGTAACAGATTTGTTTGTTCCTATCATTTGTTTGAGCCTCATTCTTCAGTCCTGTGTTCTCATCCCCCTTCGGCATGTATGATATCTATCTTTGCAGCCTCCCACATTCATAATCAGGAGACCTTTCTCAGAACAGTAATGTACCTATGGTAAGGTGCAATGACTTAAGATTTAGTCTTCTTCTCACTAGTAATGAGATGGTCTTAAACTGAAGAATGACTTAGATTTAGATAAAGGGAAGGCTTTCCAGACTTAACATTGGAATGAATTTCTGAGGGAAACTGAATTCCATCTGACATAATTCAAGATCTCATTTCAAAGGTCTTTCTGGGACTATAAGATTAATATGTTATATTTAAGCACAACTTTCTGTGTCTTTGAAGCTTCTCCAGCAAGTTCTTTACCTCTCCTTGTCTTATTTAATGGGTCTGTCTTGTGGATATTCTTCCAGGTTGAGTACTCTTTAGTATTCCCCTTTTCAACTGTGATTTTTGTTTTTGTTGCTTAAAAAAAGTTCTAATGTAGTTTAGCATGAGGATACATTCCCTTTATTCTCAGATGTCAGTACTTAGAGTATTGCTTCTGCCCTCATTGGACCACTCTCCTAAGTATGGACTAAATATGGATGTTTTATGATTCTCTTCTGTAAACCTCAGTACTAAATATTTCTTGTGTTCCCCAAGGATCCTCAAAGATTCACCATGCATAAACAATCCTCATTCTAATTGTTTTGCGTTGTATATATAGAATCACAGCAGCTACCCATGTCCATGAGGCCAGCAGCAGATCCCACGCCATCTTCACTATCCACTATACACAGGTTGGTTACCTTTTATTTTTGGTTGGATTTCTTTCTCCGTCCTTCTTGACTTCTTCCATTTATAGGTCCATTAAGCTGTGCACCTAGAAAGGGTAGAGGCAGTTAATAAGACTAATTAAAATATCTTCTGCCCTGGTCAGTTTGACTTAGCAGTTAGAGCATTGGCCCGCAGACCAAAGAGTTGTAGGTTCGATTCTGATCAAGGGCATGTACCTTGGTTGCAGTTCAATCCCTGGCCCTGGTTGGGGTCGTGCAGAAGGCAACCAATTGATCTGTCTCTCTCTCATGTCGATGTTTCACCCTCCCCCCCCCCCCACCAACTCTATCTGAAGATAAATGGAAAAATATCCTCCAGTGAAGATTTAAAAAAATATATATCTTCTATTTATATTTTACTTTTAACATTTCAAAGCACTTTCATATCTATGTGATCAGTATGGGCATTTAAAACAAAAAGCAAGCCCTGGCCAGTTTGGCTCAGCGGTTAGAGCGTCGGCCTGCAGTCCAGAGAGTCGGCCTGCGGTCCAGAGAGACCCGGGTTCAATTCCTGCTAAGGGCAGGTACCTCGGTTGCAGTTTGTCCCCAGCCCTGGTTGGTTGTGCGGGTGGCAGCCACTTGATGTGTCCCTTTCACGTCGATGTTTCTCTCTCTCTCTTCCTCTCTCTCTCCCTCCCACTTTGTCTGAACAAAAAATAGAAAAATGTCCTCAGGTGAGGATAAAAAATAAATAAAACAAAAAGCAAGATTGAAATGAAAATAAGCATTAAAATGAAAGAGTAGACAATTCATTTTTATTATGATGGAATGAGAAGGTTAACAAATCCTGGCCCCAAGAAGCAACTATAAAGCTCGACAAAATAGTAAAAAGCAACCTTTTCTCTATTCTAAAAATAGACACAAGATGTGTAATAAACTAAGAAGTATATATTCAAGAAAACTGTCCGGCCAGTGTGGTTTAGTGGTTGAGCATCGACCCACGCAACAGGAGGTCGCTGGATCGATTCCTGGTCAGGACACATGTCCAAGTTGTGGGCCTGATCCCCAGTGGGGAGCATGCAGCCAGTCGATGTTCTTTCTCATCGATGTTTCTATGTCTCTCTCCCTCTCCCTTCCTCTCTCTCTAAAATCAATAAAGGAAAAAGAAAATGAAAAAGAAAACTACTGAATTGCAAATAAGAACAGCTCAAATGTATGGTGTATTGTTGGACAGCTCCCATCCCTAACCACACCCCAATCTCTGTCGATGAGGTAGTTCAGTTAGGTTAGGGTAGGTTGTGAAAACCAGTTTTGTTGCTGCCACTGTCAGAGGTGTCAGTTTGGAGCATCATCAGTTAAGGTGGTGATCCTCACCCGAGGATATTTTTCCATTTTCTGTTCAGATAGAGGGGGAGGGAGAGAGAAGGAGAGAGAGAGAGAGAGAGAGAGAGAGAGAGAGAGAGAGAGAGAGAAACATCGACGTGACAGGGACACATCGAGTGGTTGCCACCCGCACGACCAACCAGGGTCGGGGACAAATTGCAACCGAGGTACGCGCCCTTAGCGGGAACCGAACCCGGGTCTCTCTGGACCACAGGCCGACGCTCTAACCGCTGAGCCAAACCGGCCAGGACGAGAGCTTAAATATTATATAGTGTCAGGAAAAAAATAATTTTAAGACAAATGCTAGAGACAGACATTTCATAATGATAAAGGGTTTATACACCACGAAGATACAACAACTTTAAATGTATGTGCTCCAACAAATGTATGTGCTCAAAATATATAAAGGAAAAATTGACAGAATTGAAAAGAAAAATAGGCAATTCAGTAATAATAATTGGAGATTTCAGTGCCCCACATTCAGTAGTTGGTAGAACAACTAGACAAAATATCAGTAAGGATATAGATTTGAGCAACATCATCAATCAATGTGTCCTTGAATCTAAAATATATAAAGAACGCTCAAAACTTAGTAAGAAAACAACTCAAAACAATGAAAAAAATTTTGAACCAACTTCATTCAAGAAAATATACATATGGCAATTAAGCACTTAAAATCTACCCAACATAATTAATTATTAGTGGATGCAAATTAAAACCAAATGAGATATCACTACTCACCTTTTAAAATGGCTAAAATTAAATAGAATGATTATTCTAAATAATGGCAAGATGTATGGGAGCCGGAATTCTCATTCACTACACTACTGATAGGAATGGAAACTGGTACAACAACTTTCGAAAACAATTAAACAGTTTCTTAAAAAAAAATTAAACATAGCCGTGGCTGGTGTGGCTTAGTTGGTTGGATGTTGTCCCATGTACTGAAAGGTTGCTGGTTCAATTCCTGGTCAGGGCACATGCCCGGGTTGCAGGCTCAATCCCCAGTAGAGGGCGTGCAGGAGAAAACCAATGTTCCGCTCTCACATCAATATTTACCTCTCTCCCTCCCTCTCTAAAAATCAATTTTAAAAAATTTAACATATACCTACCATGTGATCCAGCCATTCCACTCCTAATTATTTTTCCCGATAAAAAAATATGCCCATACAAAGACTTATACATAAATATTCAAATGTTCATATTTGTTCTTGTACAAAATATATTTTGTAATAAATTATAAAATTTATTTATAATTATTCAAAACTGAAAACAACCCAAATGTCATCAGAAGATGAAAGATAAACTCAGCAATAAAAACGAACTATTGATACCTCAAAATAATTATGCACAATGAAAGAAGCCAGACATTGTATGATTCTATTTGTATGAAATATCCTGAGAAGAATTTATAAAGTTAGAAAGTTAATGAGTGGTTGTCTAGGGCTGGGGATGGGAATGGAGTTTGCAAACATACTTGAGGGAAATTTGGGAATATTTTAAAGCTGGATGTTGGTGATGGATATACATTAAAACAAAACAACAACAAAAAAACCCACATTGAATTTATGAAAAAAAGGAAAAGTAGTTTTGCTCTTGAGGGCTGGATGCCCTTGAATAGAATATTCAGAGAGACAGAATGCTTGCCCTAGCCCAGTGATTTTCAACCTGTGTTTTTCAGCACACTGGTGTGCTGCAAGAAGTTTTAAAACATGCAATACTTGACTATTTAATCAGGGACACTGACCTCTTTTCCCTTAAAATATCACATAAAAATAATGAGAACAGCCCTGGCCAGTTTGGCTCAGTGGTGAGAGCATCGGCCCATGGACTAAAGGGTTGTGGGTTTGACTCCTGGTCAAGGGCACATACCTGGGTTGCAGGTTTGATCCCTGGCCTAGGCTGGGGTCATGAGGGAGGCAACCAATCTATGTGTCTCTCTCACATCGATGCTTCTCTCTCTTCCTCCTACTCTATCTAAAAATCAATGGAAAAATAGCCTCGAGTGAGAATTAACAATAACAAGAAAATAATAATGAGAACAGTCAACACAACAATAGTTGTCCAGTGTGAATGAATCAAAATTATACCTATTTGGCCCTGGCCGGTTTGGTTCAGCGGTTAGAGCGTCGGCCTGCGGTCCTGAGAGACCCGGGTTCGGTTCCTGCTAAGGGCACGTACTTCGGTTGCAGTTTGTCCCCGGCCCTGGTCGGTTGTGCGGGTGGCAGCCACTCGATGTGTTCCTTTCACATCGATGTTTCTCTCTCTCTCTGTTCCTCTCTCTCCCTCCCACTCGACCTGAACAAAAAATGGAAAAATGTCCTCGGGTGAGGATAAAAAAAAAAAAAAAAAATTATACCTATTTGCTTTGTCATATTGGCAAAAAATATATTTCTTGGTGTGTCACAGAATTTTAGTAGTGAGTTTGTGTGCCATGAGATGAAAAGGGTTTAAATTGCTGCCCTGGCCAGTTAACCTGATGTGGTTTAAGTTAACCAGAGAGACAAACCAAACCTCCATCAGGGGCCCCAACCTGCTGTGAGAGTCATAGCCTCCTGGAGGGGAGTTGAGCATTTGCCTGGTAAAGTGTACTAAAATTCATAGTGTCCCTGAACATTGTGCCTGGAGGACTTTGTGGGGATTTGCCCAGTTTTTCTGTAGAAGTCTTGTTCATATTTTCAGTGAAGTAAGGACCCAGAGCTTACTGATTGTACCTATCAGATACTGACATCTCATCTGGCACATTTGAATACATTTTTTTTTTTTAATGACTTAGCTGAAACTCCAAACAATCACATTAATTAGGAGGGTGTCTAGGGGAAAAAAACCACAGTGTTCCAAATGACAAGCTTTATGTGTTTTCTACCTTAGGCAGTTCTGGAGAACAACTTCCCCTCTGAAATCTCCAGCAAGATCAACCTTGTGGACCTAGCAGGCAGGTAAGTAGGATTTCAAAGCCAAGGGGAATTTCTCCCTTGGCATTGACTTTGTTCTTGCCCATTTTTAAGGGAATAGACTTGTTCTAATCTTTTTTGTATTTCAATAATCCTGAGAAAATTACAAAAGACAAATTCTTTGAATGATAGGTTAAGAAATTATAGCTTCTAGGAGCTGAAAAGTTCTATATCAGGGGTTCTCAGTCTTAGTTGTCCATTAAAATCACCTGGGACCTTTTAAAATTCCCAATGTCTGGGCTGCACCTTAGACCAAATAAATCAGATTATTTGTGGAGTCGGGGGCAATGCAAGCATCAGTAGTTTTTAAAGTGGCCTGGTGATTAGTGTTTAGCCAGAATTGAAAACCACTGCTCTAAGAAGGGGTAACTGAGTTAGCTTACTTTTTTCCTTTGACTTAAAAATGATTTTATGCAGCTACGTATATTACTAAAAAAAAGTTTTGTTTTTCTTTAAATAATGTGGCATTGTGGGGAAAATACTGCCTTTTAAAATATTAGATGGAAGCATGAATTATAGTCACATATCCAGAAAGAAGAAAATTTTAGGGTTAATATGGTCACAAAAAAGTGTAAGATGAAATAAAGAAATTTTCTTACTTTAAAACTGCTAAATAATTAATATGGTGTAGCATCCCCTTAAAAACTAAATGCTATCTGGAATTAACAATATCAGTTAATCAGAAGTGTAAATTTTGACTATTTCCCATTTACTTAAAAAAAGGAATTTAAGGCAGTTGACAGTTAATGACATAGATACCATAAAGCCATTAATGCGTGAAATAAAACAATAAAGGTAGAGGGGAAGTGGTTATGCTAATATAATTATTGTAAATGAGTACTACATTTAGCTGAAAGTACCCTGGCATCCAAAATAAAAGCAGAAATGTAATGAATTATTTAATATTTAATGCCTGAGAAGCAGAAGAATGCCAGTTCGTTATAAGATGGTAATTTTTTTTTCTGGAATTGAATTCTAAAAGGAATTTGTTATGTGGGTCTTTTACATGATGTACAACATAATGAATAGTGTCTTTAAGCAATATTGTAAGGATAGTGTTGTCTTGTTTGCTTTTGTTTTTGTTGACTTTTTTAGTGAAAGAGCAGACCCCAGTTACTGTAAGGACCGGATTACTGAAGGAGCCAATATCAACAAGTCTCTTGTGACTCTGGGAATTGTCATCTCCACCTTAGGTATTTGGCTGATAAACTAGATCATCAGGGATAGGGGGAGACTTTGGAGAATAACTCATTATTTTCATTTAGTCAAAATGGGTAGATACAAGGTTCTTTTTGATATAGTTACCTTCTGGTTTGGGGCATAAGAATCGAAATTTTCTGTGGTTTTAGAATACAGGTTGGCCATCATTCCTGTACTCTCATTTCAGAAAGAAGAGAGACTAAAAAGTTGTGTAGCTCAAATACTCCATGCCTGAGTCCGAAGTCTAATTTAGGGCTCAAACTTAAAGCATCTTAACGTATGCAAAAGAGATTAGGAAGTGTGGTACTTAAGTCTGTGCTCCCCAACCATTGTTTTCTTTCAATGCATTTTTTTCAGAATTTATTTTCTCTTCCACTTTTATTTTTTTGTCTTTTAAGCCCAGAACTCTCAAGTATTCAGCAGCTGCCAGAGCCTCAACAGTGTAACCAGCAATGATGGCGACAGTGGGGTTCCTAGCTTTCCTTCTGGGACCAGTAGTGGAGGGGGACCCTCCCGGAGGCAGTCTTACATCCCATACCGGGACTCCGTGTTGACCTGGCTGCTGAAGGACAGCCTTGGAGGCAACTCCAAAACCATCATGGTTGCCAGTGAGTGGGATGCTGGGGCTGGTTCTGTGTTGGGACTGGTACTGCGCCTTGGAGAAAGGGCCATGACCGACCATTTCATCAATGTCGTATAGCATGGACAGTAACAGCAAGGCAAGTGGTTATGGGCTGGGTCAGAGGGTTTGGCATGTTTTTTACTTTCTCCTTGTACCTCAGCTGTGTCTCCTGCACACACTAGCTACAGTGAGACCATGAGCACACTGAGATATGCATCCAATGCCAAGAACATCATCAACAAGCCACGGGTAAATGAGGTGAGAACTTCATTTGAAGTCCTGGCCTATTATACTTGACACCAAGTTCTTCTTTTGTTATGCCTCTCATTGATGTCTTTCTTTTTGTACTCACTCAAACTTGTTCTTTGAATGATAAAGGAGTGAAATTCTTCCTTCTAGTGTTATACCCTCTCTCATATCTCTACTGACTTCATTTATAACCTTTTATGAATAATTTTAGATATTTCCCTAAGACAGTTTCTCTTAACATCTGTGGTATACCATTGTCACTCTTAGAAAGATTATTTTAAAGTTTCTATATTTATGTCCGGCTGGTGTGGCTCAGTGGTTGAGCATCGACCCATGCACCACCAAGAGGTTGCCGGGTCGATTCTGGCCAGGACACATGCCCACATGTGGGCCCAATCCCCAGTGGGGGGCCTGCAGGAGGCAGCCAGTCAATGTTCTCTCTCATCGATGTTTCTATCTCTCTCTCCTTCTCACTTCCTCTCTCTCTAAAATCAATAATGGTAAAAAAAATATTTTTTAAAATAAATAAAGTTTCTGTATTTACTAATTTTATTCTGAGTTTGTGTTGATATATGCTTGTATTTTTTTTTCTATGCAAATGGTAGTTATGTCTCTATTTTGGGCTAAAACAGGCATATAATAAAATTAGTTTTGAAAGCTGAATAATAATGAGAATATTCCTAAAATTCCTTATCTGCTTTATAATTTTAGTGAACAGTTCCAGAGCAGGGATTATAAACTGGTGGTCAGACAGATATAACCTGTCTATGGACTATTTTAAAAGGCAATGTAATTAGCTCTGGCTGGGTGGCTTAGTTGGTTAGAACAGCATTCCATGCACCAAAAGGTTGCAGGTTCAATCCCCATTCAGGGCACATACCTAGGTTGCTAGTTCAGTCCCCATTCAGGGCACATACGGGAGGCAACTGATCAATGTTTCTCTCTCTCTCTCCCTCCCTCTCCTTCCCTCTTTCTCGCTCTTGCTCCCTCTTGCCCCCCTTACTCTCTCTCTCTAAAATCAATAAAAACATAATCTTAGATGATGATTTTTAAAATTACTTTTTAAAAAAAGGCAATGTAATTAGACAAGTACTAAGTTTAATCACAATACAGAAAAATGTATATCTACTATCTATACATGCCCTGGCATTTGTGTTACCTGCCTGACCTCTTGGACAGTGATTCTCAAACTTTAGTGTGTGTAAGAATCTCCTGGAGAATTTATTAAACCACAGCTAGGCTCCAGCCCTCAAGAGTTTCTGATTCAGTAGGTGTTGGGTAGGGGCAGAATTTGTATTTCTAACAAGTTCTTTGTCCTGGGACCACATTGTAAGAAGACTGTCCCAGAAGGTACTCCAAAGGATTAATCTACTTCTTCTCTGCTAATTGCATGAAGCATCTTATAGCTGTTCAGGGCCTGATATCAATCAGTGGTGACTGAGTTCTCTGTGTTTCAGGATGCAAATGTAAAGTTGATCAGAGAACTCAGGGAAGAGATTAGAAGATTGAAAGCCATGCTGCTGAGCTTCGAACTGGTATGTGGGCAATCAGAACTTCTGTGTATTCAAGAGCCCCTTTTCTTCTGCAAAGAATCTGAGTCTTGCTTCATTGTGTTCTCAATTAAGTGACATCTGTGGGGCAGGGGCAGGTACAAAACAGGATGGGGATTACTCTGATTATCGATGTAGTTTCAGATGGAATGGGGTGGACATCCTCTCGCTCTATTGTCTCTGTTGTCCAAAGGGCATTTGCCTGAATAGTTCTTATCTCTTTGTGGACAGATGCAGGGAATGCGGCCCTCCAGAAATATTTTTTGAATTCACTATATTTTTGTCAATCTCAGCCCAAATACTTAGGCTTCTGATTTATTTCTGATTTTAATGATAGTCTTTCCCTTATCTACAACTTATCTTCCCTTACACGAGTAAGGGTGGGAACCCACCAAACACAACTCTCTCTCTGTGCAGAGAAACTTCAGTTCATTGAATGAGGAGAAGGATGGAAATCTGAAGGAGCTGGTTCTCCAGAATGAATCAAAGGTGGGTGTGTCCTGAGGTAGACCCAGTTGTGCTTTACATCAGCCTGGGAGGAGGTCTGACCTCCCTCCATCATTCCTGGGCTGGGGCTGCTCCCTCGTCAGGATGGAGAAATTCTGTCTGATTTAGAGACAACTTTTGTCTCCATTGAGCCTTGAATGGGGGATTCATTTGTCTGGAGGGTGGTGACCAGCTTTCTGACTTTGTTTTGTTCTCCCAAAGATTCATGATAACTCCCTTTGGATAGTGACAGTAACTTGGAAAATAAAATTTATTTCCCAGTCAGTAAATCAACCAACCAACATGTATTCATTGAGTACCAGATAAGTGCTCAGTGTGATGCTGCAAGAGATACAAAGTAGTCCCTGCCCTCAAGTGGCTTGCAGTCTAACTGGAAACACATTTAGAGAATGGTTAAATGTAATAAACTACATGAGTTTAGATGAAAGAGCTTAGGGAAGGAAGAAATCATGATGGCTTGGAATTTTCAGTGCAGGTATTACATTGCTGGAGCTGGAAGTGAGAGAACTTGAACTAGACCTTGAAGAATTGATAGAATTTTTTAGGTAAAAGGGGTAAGGAATTTGGGATGAGAGAGGGATAACATAAGCAAAGCCATGGAACTGAGAAAATGAACTGGTGTGGGAGGCCACATGGAAACACAAAATGTGAGGAAGACCAAGCTGGTTGGAATAGATGCTCCTGCTAGAGATTAGTGGAGGTAAGGTGAGGGCTAGTTTGGGAGGTTTGAACTTGACATAAACAGGTTTGATCATAGCTTCCTGAACCAGGTTGGTGATATAATAAAGGAGTATGGTAAGGAAATTAATGTGTTGATATCGGGTGGATTGAAGGGTGGGAAGCTTGGAAGCAGAGCGACCAACCAGGAAAGAGACTACTGTTGTGAGAATAAGAACAAGACATTTTGGGAGATTAGATTAAGTGGTGATTCCCAGAGACACTTAAAAAGAAAAAAAAATGGCAGGCATTATTTGGTGACAGGTTCGATTTAGATCCTGCAACCACATGTCTCAATTTCCAATATTATTGCATCATCCTATGTGTTATTAAAGTATCCTGGCTATGTCAACATTTTGTTATCCAAACTAAACTTCAGGACTGTATCACACATCCAGAAGTTTCTCAGAAATTCTGTGTTTTACCATATATTCTGATTTGGGGTTCAGAAAATATCATACCTCACCCGGCTGGTGTGGCTCAGTGGTTGAGCGTCAACCCACGTACCAGGAGGTCGCCGGTTCGATTCCTGGTCAGGGCACATGCCCAGATTGTGGGCCAAATCCCCAGTGGGGAGCATGCAGGAAGTGGCCAATCAATGTTCTCTCTCATCAGTGTTTCTATCTCTCTCCCTGTTCCTTCTTCTCTCTCTAAAATCAATAAAGAAAAAAAAAATTTTTAATAAAAAAGAAAATATCATACCTCTATATGTGAGAGTCAAAATCATTCCAAGCTTATTAGCGTTTTTGCATTATGCAGGCTCACAGAATTCAAGTGGAATTGAATCTGCTACTTGCTGGCCTTATGACTTTAGGCAGTGTAGGAGTCATACAGAGAGTCAGCCAGAAGGGGGGAGGTGTGTTCAGCAGTTCCTCCAGGTTGCTGTGCCAGGTTGACCAAACTGTAAGCCAGAGTGACCTGCTGGTCGCCCCTGCCAAGTTCAGCTCAGCCCTTTGGTTACCCTGTAGTTTGCAAACTTCAACTCAGTGATTATGATATTAAAAATAATGTTTGCACCCTGGCTGGTTTGGCTCAGCGGTTAGAGCATCGGCCTGCAGTACAGAGAGACCCAGGTTTGGTTCCCGCTAAGGGCACGTACCTCGGTTGTAGTTTGTCACGGGCCCTGGTTGGGTCGTGCTGGTGACAGCCACTCGATGTGTCCCTTTCACGTCAATGTTTCTCTCTCTCCCTCTCTTTCCCTCCCACCATATCTGAACAAAAAATGAAAAAATGTCCTTGAGTGAGGATAAAAAAAAAATTAAAAATAATGTTTGTAGGGTACATAAAATAGTTGTACCTAAACTTGGTATAGTTTCTTTTTTCTTAAGTATTCCATTTATGAGAGAAGTATTTAGCTGAATTCAGTTTCTTTTTCCGGGTTCCTTATTTCTTTCATTTCCAGGATAAGCTGCTGCCTAAGCATGAATTTTCACCATAAGAAGAGAAAAGAACTCAGCATTCAATATTGTTTGTTTACATTCCCCAGTTGGTCTTAAAGCCTCTAAGTTTTGGTTATATTAATTTTTAAAACTCAGATCCTGATACATAGTAAGCCCTCAGGATTTTATCATTGTTGTTATTTTATTGCTGTGTGGTCTTTCACACCAGTTTCATATAGTCTTTATTCTCCCTGGGGAGACTTCCATTGTGCTTTCTGGTCTTTGAGCCACGTGCACACTTACATTAGAAGTTTAGGTGGTGCACTTTGAGAAAGAAGTGTGGAGTCACAAAGGCATTCCCAGTATGGATCACATAGGACGGGGACAGGGAGAGGGGAATTGCAGATATCTGACTAACATCTCACTCAATTAAAAAAAGTTTTTTTCTTTATTGATTTTTAGAGAGAGAGGAAGGGAGGGAGAGAGAGAGAGAAGCAAAGATGAGAGAGAACATCAATTGGCCACCTTCTGGATGCCCCCCACTGGGGATCTGTCCCACAACCTGGGCATGTGCCCTGACCAGGAATTGAACTGGCGACCTCTTGGTGTAGGGGTCAATGCTCAACCACTGAGCCACACAGGCCAGGTGAATTTTTATTTTATTTATTTTTTAATAAATATGTTTTTTATTAATTTTTATTACAGATGTTTCTCCTTTTTCCCCCACTGATTCCCTCCTCCCCCTCACTCCCTGCCCTGTCCCCAGTTTGTTGTCCATGTCCACTGTTCATGCATACGTGCATATAAGTTCTGTGGTTTATCTCTTCCCCACCACCCCCTCTTCTGGGCATTGTCAGTCTGTAACCCACTTCCACGTCTCTGGGACTACCCCATTCCTCAGACTGTTATGTTCATTATATTCCACAAATAAGTGAGATCATATGATACTTGTCTTTCTCTGTTTGGCTTGTTTCACTTAGGATGATACTTTCCAGGTCCCTCCATGTCGTCTCAAAGGATAAGAGATCTTTTTTTCTTTCTTACGGCTGCATAGTACTCCATTGTGTATATGTACCACAGCTTTTTTATCCATTCGTCTACTGATGGACAGTTGGGCTGTTTCCAGATCTTAGCTATTGTAAATAGTGCTGCTATGAACATGGGGGTACATATATTCTTTCTGATTGGTGTTTCAGGCTTCTTAGGGTATATTCCTAGAAGTGGAATCACTGGGTCAAATGGAAGTTCAATTTTAAATTTTTTGAGGAAACGCCATATTGTTTTCCATAGTGGCTGCACCAGTCTGCATTCCCACCAGCAGTGTACTAGAGTCCCCTTTTCTCCACACCCTTGCCAACACGTGTTGTTTGATGATTTGTTGATGGCGGCCATTCTGACAGGTGTGAGGTGATACCTCATTGTTGTTTTAATTTGCATCTCTCTGATTAGTGATGATGAGCATTCCTTCATATGTCTCTTAGCCATTTGTATGTCCTGTTTGGAGAGGTGTCTATTTAGTTCCTCTGCCCATTTTTTAATTGGGTTCTTTGTCTTCCTTTTGTGGAGTTGTATGAGCACTCTCTCTCTCTATATATAGGAAATTAACCCCTTATCTGATATATCATTGGCAATGATGCTCTCCCATACAGTGGGTTGTCTTTCCGTTTTGATGATTGTATCTTTTGCTGTGCAGAAGCTTTTGAGTTTGATGTAGTCCTATGTGTTCATTTTCTCCTTTGTTTCTATTGCCTTAGGTGATGTATCAGTGAAAATTATGCTGCGTATGATGTCTGCAATTTTGTTGCCTATAGTTTCTTCTAGGATTTTTATGGATTCATGAGTCACATTTAAATCTTTTATCCATTTTGAGTTTATTCTTGTGTAGAGTGTAAGTTGATGGTCTAGTTTCATTTTTCTGCATGTAGGTGTCCAATTTTCCCAGCACCATTTATTAAGAGGCTGTCCTTACTCCACTGTATGCTCTTGCCACCTTTGTCAAATATTAATTGAGCATATTCCAGGCGAATTTTTAAAAATAACATTAACGGTGTTTTTACCAATTATAAAAACAATACATGCTTGTTGCAGAAAACTTTAAAAATAATGTTTATGAGGGAGTTTTTATTTATGAAAGTAACACTTGCTATTGAAGAAAACTTAAAAAACACAGAGATCTCACAGAGAAGGTGCAATGGCCTCTGTGGGGCTTTGAGTAGTATCAGTGAAGAGAGTAAGGAAGTAATACCTGGTGGGAATCAGGCCAGGATGACACCTGAACTTTAGCCTGCTTCCCATGCTGAGTCTCTGAGACTACCTCCTTTATCTCTGCAGATAGACCAGCTGACTAAAGACTGGACCCAGAAGTGGAATGAGTGGAAGGCCCTCATGGAGTATTACAGAGTGGACATCAACAGGAGGAGGGCTGGGGTTGTCATCAACTCCAGCCTGCCACACCTGATGGCCTTGGAGGATGATGTGCTTAGCACAGGTGTCGCACTCTATCACCTCAAGGTGAGTAGGCAGGTGCAGTTCCTCTCTTGAGTTATGAGCCCCAGAGGTCAAGGACGGAAAAGCCAGGATAGCAGCCATGCATGTGAAAATTGAGACAGATGCCACAGAGCCGACTTCAGGTTTGCCCTCAGGAAACTGGGCTAGCCAACCAATTGCCACCTGTTTGGTTTTTGTACGAATAGTGCAGAAGACTGGAAATCAGAACAATCATTTATTTTTTAGCTACTGCTACTGTTGCTCTTATATAACTTACTTTTGTTCTCTGAACCTTAATTTTATAATAAGAATGAGACTGCTTGTATACCTTTTCTAGCTTCCTGAAACACAGGAATGCAGGCAAGGAGGTGAAATCCTAACCTTAAAATACCATCGGTGCTCCTGATGGCTAAAGGGGGAATCAAAAAGAAATAGTTTCCTTTCCATACTTCCCCACTTCATTCAACCCCCAAATCATCAAAACATGCTCCTTCCAGTTCTTCATTACTAGGTTCACTTAGGACAGAAGAGATGAGAGAGAAAGTAGATACAGGAAGCTTAGAGAAGGCATGAGGGAGAGTCCAAAGAACTGGAGATGGGGGGATGGGGGCTAAGAATGACATGCAGCCACGTAGAAAAAAATAGAACGAAGTTAAGACTTTCTTGTAGGACCTGGTTCACCTGGCTCTTTGCTACCTGGAGGCCAGGTCCTCACTTCTAAATGAAGCAGTTTGAGAGGTAGTGACCCATAATAGAATCTTATATCCTGCCCTCATCTAAAATGTCCTGCTGTAGAAGGACAGTCTCTGTGGATGGCAAAATATACTTTACGTGGCCAAAACGCTCACTGAAAATCCAATCTTCATTCTCATAATTGTCCCCAGCTGACATTGAAAAGGAACAGAGTTTATGGGGCATATGTAATGCTGCTATTACCTGTGTAGAATTAGACTCCTGATGCTGCAGTGCATATGGTAGTGAAATGTTAACAAAACTCATCATGTTTAGAAAGTATCTGTTCTTAGGATAAGCCCAAGGGAGTTTTCAGAGACTGAGCCTCTTAGAAAGTTAAAGTATCTTATTTTCTGATACACAGAGTATAAATTATTTCAGTGAAAATGCCTCAGACAGAAGAGGCTGTTACCTTAATAATATCTAAATACTAAAGGCTATGTATCCTTTTTAGTCAGAACCACAGGGAGAGGTTGAAAGGCGGGAAGAGACCAGATGGATTAAAATGGTCAGTATTTGAGTAGAACTGGTTTGATATATTGATTGCTTGTGGAGCGAGCAGATGAAGCTAGAAGTCAAGTGGTAGAGCTTGGAGTAGCAAGAGAGTTAAAGGGTATGACCAGCCCCATCTGAATGTAGAGGTGCTGGTTTTCCTTGCTGAGTCAGTACATACCCAGGTGGCACTCCCTGCTTGGTGCATTTACAGTGAACCCGGTACTGGGGTTCTAGTTAGTGCAAATCCTGGCATTTCTGCATTTTATGTACCCATTTCCTCTTTTCATTTGTTTACACCCTGGTTTGGGTAGCAGTATTACTCAAGATTATGTTTTGTTTGTTTGTTTTTGCTTTGCTGGCTTGGTTACAGATCTGGAACTAGTCACTAGCAATGCCCTGGAAGCTGTTTTCCCTTGGGCCACCTTGGGAGAAACATTGGGTGGGAAGGGGGTCGGGGGGAAGGATGCATAGAGCACAGGCTGCTGATATCCTGGACTTCGTCCTCATAAGTGCCTTTGTGCTGCTAACCTTCCCCATGAAGAGGCACAGGGGCAGCAAGCACAGATGCCAATTCAGTCCTTGTTAAACAGATGCCATCACAATTTTTGGCTTCTTCTCCCCTGAAGGTCTAGATGTTGTGATATGCTGTGGACTTTATCCTTTGGGGAGGAACGTGCCTCATCATCAAGGATGACCCTGAACCCACATGCGGAGTCTTGACCTCTTTCCCTTTATTCTGTTTGGCGGTATTTGGAGGCCAGTATCCACTGGCTTGTTTGATCTTCAGTGGCTGAACAGAAAAGGCTGGGCTCTGGCTTGTGTGTGTGCTTGTGGAGGGGGGCACAGAGCCTCATTCATCACTTCTAGGAGTCTTCCTTCTCATAAGTTATTTTGTGGGAACTGCAGTGACTACCCTTCTGTCTGCTAACAGTGAAGCCTAGTACGGAACTCTCTGGGCACTTTGAAAACCTCAGTTACTGAGGAGGTGGTATGCTGAGGTTGGAAAGGATGGGCTTAGGACCTAGAGAGACCTGAATTCTAGCCAGAACTCTCCTGTTTAGTTTGTGGGTTCCTTGGGCAACTTATCCCCTATCAGCTTCAGCTTCCTTGTCTACAAAAGGGGGATAATAATACCTACATTTTGGACTGTTAAAGGATTTAATAAGAGATGTCTATAAAGCACTCATCACAGTGCCTAGGACATAGTGAATGGTTATTCAGTGAATGATGAATACGTATCTAAACTCAGCATCTCTGTTGCCATGTTGCTGCCTTTCTCAAACAGAGCTATGTGAATTGCTATAGTCAAAGGTCAAAAAGACCTTGTCTTCTACTAACCTTGTGATTCATTTATACTAACTCCCATTTCCCCTCCTCTCTTATACTTTCTTCCAGTCCCTTTTGATTCTAGATGTGCTTTTCTCCTATTCGTGCTTTACCCTTCTTACAATCTGGTGTCTGTTAAACTTCATCTGCGGACCAAGAAGGTAAAAATCCTGTGCTTCCATCCACCTTCATAGAACACATGTGTCTGAGACTGACTGGACCACACTTGGAACACACAAATCTTAGCCCCTGGGAGAAAGCTATACCTGTGCCCACTTCCTCAGACTAAAGAATCTCTGACTGATGGCCATGGCTGTTCCCTAACTTCAGGCTATAGCAGTTTGCCAACACTTGTTGGACTTTGCAAAGATCTGGTGCTGCTTTGTCACATATTTTTTGCCCCCATGTTCTCAGGGTCTTCCTGGCTGCAGAGTGAGTGGGCAGAGCATTCAGAACAGCCTGGGCCCAAGTTGAGTAGTGGTGTGGAAGAAGCTGGGATGGGTGTGGGAAGACAGTGATGACACTCAAACAGGTGGACTCTCCTTTGGGGGCAGGGCTGTATCTCTTTTTATTCTCAGTTAAATGGATTTGCTTTTTCCTTTAGGAGGGGACAACAAAAATAGGAAGAATTGACTCAGAACAGGAACAGGATATCGGTAAGTGACAGAACACATGGTCTGACACTGTGGCAGGTACTCATGCCTGACAGGTTTCTTCAGAGGAACCTGATGGTGCTCTGAGAGAAAAGGATCTTTGAAGTCCTAAGGGGCTGCTCCTTTTGCTGTTAGGTTGTGGGACTGCAGCTGTGTGTCTGGGACATGATAAGAGGGGACCCACATGTGGGAGCATCCAGCTCTGAGAGGTTTCAGACGGTGACTGTTACTCTCTTGTCGTGATATGAGATCTTCCAGATGTGAATTCTGGTCTCATGGGAAGAATGGAAGAGGTGTTTCCTTGGGCCATGCTTCCATGTAGGTGACCCCTGCCTCTTCTGTAGTCCTGCAGGGTCAGTGGATTGAGAGAGACCACTGTACTATCACCAGCGCCTGTGGGGTCGTCGTTCTGAGGCCTGCCCAGGGGGCCCGCTGCATAGTCAATGGCCGGGAGGTCACTGCCTCCTGCCGTCTGACCCAAGGTAGGACTGTCTACAGCCTTTTCTATGCCAGGATGAGTGATGGACCAGCTCCATTCTCACGGGCCAAACCTAGAGAACTCAGTGAAGCAGTCTCTATACCCAGAGATCTGAAGATTTCCTAATACAATCTTCTTCCCATACATGAAAAAGGGGCCTTATTCTTGGGCCCCAGAATGGAGGATGACTCTGAAATTTGTTCCTGTGTTTGTTAGCTCTGTGTCCTTGGGAAAGTCTCTGAGCCTCAATTTCCTCATCTGTAAAATGGTAATAATAATAATAGGATTGAATAGCAGGAAATGTGAGGATTGAATGAGCTAATCCATGTAATATTCTTAACAGTAAACACTTATTATTACTGTCACTATTACTATTACTGTCACTATTATTATTAATCTGTTTTAAATTCTGTTTTTCCTTTGAGGCTGAGCTTACATTTCCCCCTCTTCCATGAAGTATTCCCCAACTATTCCACCTGGAACGCATCTTTCTTTCTCTTAGACTACCAGAGTCTTCTTGTTCACTTCATTAGTTTGATATATATGCGGTGCAGCATCCAGTGACTACATACATATCTTATTGACTCAGCTAAATTATTCACTTGTTGAGGACAGGACTCTTGTCTCACAGAACAGTGCCCTGCACATAGTGTGTACTCAGGACAGGAGCTGTTGATTGAATTCTCACCTGTCTGTGTGCCACAGGAGCAGTCATAACCCTGGGGAAAGCACAGACATTCCGATTCAGCCACCCAGCAGAGGCTGCTGTCCTTCGGCAGAGAAGGCAGGTTAGCACGCTGCGTTTTCTACGAGGCTACGGGCCTCCCTACTTCTCCTTCTGGGGGAGGAGTTTGAGCTTTGTCTGGTTCTCTTGGGAGTGTGGGGAAGGTTGATGACTGCAGCCTCCCTGTGCTTTCTTCCTTGCTCCCAGGTTGGAGAGGCTGTTGGTGGCAGTGGCTCTTTGGAGTGGCTGAACTTGGATGGAGATGTCACTACCCCTAGGTTGGGTCTCTGCCCTTTGCTTTGGAAGAAAAGGTGAGAAACTGCTGCTCATTCTGCTGTGGAACCTACTACTTTTTCTTCTTAGTCCATTACAACATGGAGCTGGGAGGAGAAGAGTGTAGCAGACAAGGTCTGAATGAAGCCTGGTCTCAACCAAATTGGCAAGTGATTTGAAGATGTTGAGCTAGCTGCTCAGCTGATAGTTGCCAGACCAGTGGACTTGGCCCTCATGTATTTTCTCTCCGCGGTTGCAGCTTTCTTCATCACTGAAAAAGTGTAGCATTTGTTGTTTCCTATGTCAACAAGATTTAAATGTGATGTGTTTGTAGATAGCTTTGATATAGCTTCTGAACTTACCTCCCTGTATACATCTTTAAATTCTGTGCTGCCTGTGTGTGAGCTCAATTAACTTCTAGGACTATGGCTTTCTCTGAGTTTTTAAAGACATCATGGGGCTGAGAATACTTTTTTCTCTCAACCAAGGGTTCAGAATGATGCATAACAGGGGCAGGAACTCCAAGAACAATGTGAAAATACCTTGAGGTTCTGCCTTCTCACACCCACTTTACCAGCATTGTAACTGTGAGGCATGGAGCCAGAGTTTTATATGTGATTAGTGTCAACTACTTTTCTTCTTCATAGTCATTCTTCATCCATTTCTTCATAGAATTCCCTTCCCAGATCTAGATACCCATGGATTTGGTACTCGGAACAGTGGTATCCCTCTGTTCCCATAGCTAAAGTGGCTGATGCCTTGGGAGCTTCATTTAGAAAATGTCAGCAGGGGATTCAGTGCCTGTGAGACCATCCATGTCAGCACCATGAGCACAGGGCTCCTGGGAGGGTTGTAATGGTCCTTGGTCCCCTGGTTGCTTCATAGGGATCTAGCTGCCCTTTCCTCTGGCCGGAATTTAGTGGCAGCTGAAGATAGTTTTGGATCTGACCTTGGAAGTGAGGGGTGTTGGGTGTAAGAGTGGAGGTGCTCTGGTGCAGGGAGCATAGCAGGCAAGTCCTCACAGCAGGGCAGTTGAGGGCTGAGGACGGTGCACCAAAGTCTGAGGGAGGGCGACCCTAGTGTCCAGTGAATGAGGACTGGGGCGGGGGAGGGGGTAGGTGGGAGAAGGGTATCAAGGCCAAGATGGATTCAGAGCTGAGGCTGGGGCTCTTGTTTTGTCAGGCCCTTCCTTTTTGTAGTGAATCCATGAAAGAAGGCCTGGCCTTAGGTAAGGTTTCCATTGGAAAGACGCACTGATGAGCTGTTTTTCCCAGAGTTCAGAGGCTTACGGAGAAGGGCTCTGCAACTTAGAGAGCGAGGATGAGGAGTTAGATAAAGCTGCTTCACCTCCTGGCTCTAAAACAGAAAAGCTGTGTGACCTCAGCAAGTCACTGAGTCTCTGAGCCTGTTTGCTCACCTCTAAATAAGGATGCTACTATCTCTTTTCCAGGGATCCTTGTGATATAGGTTAAAAGAGCTAGAACTTGTGGAGTGCTTTGCCAAGTACCTGACACCCCACAGCTCCGCTGTTGAGAGGCTCTTGTGGGGAGCTGTCCAGGAATGTAGCCTCCTTTTCATTTTCCTGTCCTCCTATTTCACCCCAGCTGACCAGAGAACACTGGTCTCCTGCCTTTGTAAGGCCTTCTTAGGCTTTCTAGCCCCATGGGCACTGATGTGACCTTTCAATAACAATAAGAATGCCTCCTTTCATTCAGAGAGGACAGAGAGGGATTAGAACATCCAGGCCTCTCCCACTTGCTGCCTCCACTTTTCAGCACCAGCTCTAGGAGCCTGTGGGCTGAGCTGGTCCTGCCCAGCTTCTATCGACAGTGTCATGTGACAGCCCTGGTGGCAGTGGGGTGGTGTGGGGCTCCAGCCTGTGATTGGGCAGAGGGATCGGGAAGAGAACCCATGAGAGTGAAGAAAACTGCACATTGTCAGCTGGCTTCTCAGTTGGTTTGTGGCTGTATCTCCATGAGAGTCTCTCCTCCGCTCTTGGGTGAGGTTGACTCCCAAGCCTCCCCTTGTCCTAGGCTTTCTTCCCTCCCTTCTTCTCTCTGGAGGAGCACTTGTGGGGAGCCTGCAAAGCCGGAGCTGACTCCAGAGCCAGGGAAATTGGCCAGTCTGCCTCCTTTCCTCTTGAAGCAGTGATCTGGACCAGAGAGGAATTTGACCTTGAAACTGTCTGTGGCCCGTGTTCTTTGCAATTTCCCATTTGGAATTTTGGAGACTTAACCTTAAGTGCCCAGAGTCCGGGAGACACTGTTATTGCTGCCACTGGTAGTGCTGCCTGAGTGGATGCTGCTGCATCTGCTGCAGAAGCTGTCAGACTCCCGGCGGCTGGGAGGGCGCCATGGAGTCCTGTCAAAGAGGGGACCAGGCAGCAGCTGGGGGAGGCAGGAGCCACCCAAGATGAGACAGAGGTCCTTGTCTGGCAGGTAACTGAAGGCTTGCACTTGGTAATCTACCCAAACATGTAGCATAAGGTTGGTATTTTCTTTTTCACTTGTTTTTTGGGAACTTGGCTGATGTATGTGACAGAGGAGCTGTTTTGGTGTGATGCCATGTGGCATCTGGGGTGAATGTGCGGGGTCTGTAGCAGTCCTCCCAGACTTCCTCTCATCACAGGCCTTGATGCTACTATGAAGGAGACTACTGGGTTATCAGAAACTGACAGGCAGCTGCCACTTTCCAGGAGGGAGGCAGGAGCTCTCCTCTAGGGAGAAGGAAATTGTAAATCAGGGTTCGAGATGGCAGAGAAGAAAGCTAAATACTCTCAGGGAATTCAGAATAAAGATCCCCTCTGCCCCTGGCATATGATGGTCTGAATCTTAGCTGGGTTTGCCTACGACCCTCAGATGGATTTATGTTTGAAATTCAGTCATGTCTGTGGTCAGACAAAATTTGGAGTAGTAGTGCAGGCATGACACATATGTATAAAATGTTTTTCATTAACTGCTTTTTCTATTCATGGGGCATTAACTGGTTTTTATACCAAATGCTATCCTTAGCCTTTTGCCTCACACGCATCAAAGAGTGTCTTTGCTCTTTTATGTGCATTCCACTGCGTGTATTTGGCCTTTTGCCCACAGCAGTCATTGCCAGTCTCCCCCCAGAGTGCACTCACTCAAGTATCTGGGCCTGTGCTAGTTTTTGGACCCACTGCATATTGAGTCACCTCACAGTGTCCTTCACAGAGAAGACACTGCTGGCATATCAACTCCCACACACACACACCTTCCCATCCATCTATTCACTCTCCTACCCACCCATCCTTCACTGTCCTCCTAAAGCTATATTATGAAATCGTAATTCCTTCTAAGACAGAGGCAGCAACTGGTCTGTAAAGGGCAAGGTAGTGTTTTAGGCTTTGCAGGACTTACAGCCTCTGCTGCAGCAACTCAGCTTTGCCAATGTGGCACAAAAGCAGCCGAGACAATACGTAAATGAATGGTGTGGCTGTGTTCCAATAACACTTTACTCACAAAAACAGGCAGCAGACCCAATCTGGCCCACAGGCTATAGTTTGTGGACCTCTGCTTTGAAACCTTCTGTATTTCATTCTGCTCTACAAAGTATAAATCTTTTAAGCAGAATGAACCCTAGAGCACACTGCTTGGACCGATATCTGGCTCTCATGTCCAGTCATAGCATCCTGGGACTGGAATGAGGGCTGAGGAAGGCTGGATTCAGGCATTTTTGTGAGCCTCTGATGGATCCTGACCACTCCCAGCCACTCCCCCTCCCATCAGCACCCTGGAGTGCCCATGCCCACACAGTTTGCTCTTTTAGGAAGGGGAAGGACAGGGATGGAGTGACCCTACAGAAACAGCACGTGAGATCCTCTTTAGAACTATGTGTGACCCAGGGCAAGGTTGGCCTGTGGGTAGAGCCTGTCAGTCTTCAGGGCAAGGCTTTTACTCCCCCATGGTCACACAGGAACCTGGTGGCCGGATAAAGTAGGACTGGAATCTAGAATTCTTTTTAAACCTTGTATAATGGAAAATTCCAAATATACTACAAATGATTAACTCATAGATATCTTGTTTCATTTGCATCCCCACTCACTTTCCTCTACTCCTCCCTACTGGATCTAAACAAATCCCAGACAGTTTCACCAGAAAATGCTTCAGCATGTATCTAAAAGGTATGCTACAGTCTACAACTCTTGAACCCTCTCCCAGGACTGGTTCACATAGGTGTGGTGCATGTAATTTCTCTCTGGATTGGCTGCCTCCTACCACCAGCTCCCAAAGGGTTTCGGGGAACGGCGGAGGGGGACTTGTAATCTCTGAACATGTATGAGAGACTCTCCATTCCCACAGTGATTCTGGAGCTTCTGCTCTACTTTGTTTCCAGCAGATACCTTTTCTTTTTTTAAGGATAGAGTTCCTTGATTTAGCTAAAATGTTGCAGGGTTTTTTTTGTTTATTTGAAAGCTGCTCTGCTTTCCTGGTTATTTTACTTAACCAAAATATATTTGTGTTTCTGCTAAACCCACAATCTAAGAATCTGCTAGTCTAAGGCTGTTCTCTCCTCCTGCACTGTGACATCATGAGCTGCCTGTGACACCACGCCTGTGTGTCCCAAGTCGCCAGAAGTCCAAAGCCCTCTCTGCCCTGTTGAATTCAGGGGCTCTCTTAGAGGGGCTTAGATGGCCACTGGCTTGTACTGAGCTGGGTTTGCATTCCCCTGGGTAACCTCGGCTCCCCTGTGACAGGAAAGTGCTGGGAGAGCAGAGTGCCGTGGACCACCAGCCACTGAGGGCTGGGGAGACGCCCCACAGGGTCAAGACTCAGCAGAAGCAGTGCTACGTGGAGGAGTTGAGGCAGCGAATCCCTGCACGACAGATTAGAGCCAAACAGGACCTGGAATTCGACCAGGCACATATCAGCTGGCAGAATAAAGACAGTAGGTGTCCGCTGCTCACAATGTCTGCTTCATCCTCCCATCCCTTCATACTTCCCAGCCTTCCGTGTTCTCTTCTTTGTTTGCTTTGTGATATGATAGAATCTTTGGTATTAGGTGTTCTTTCCTCTCTTTTAAAGACCAGAGGTTCTTACAGAGACTGGAAGCAAGAATAAGGAAGCAGCTTCCCATTGCCCCTCAGAGTGATGGACCTCTGCTCCCTCCTTCTCATGCGCACATTTGTCTGTGCTTTGCTGCCTGCTCTAGCATGTGCTCACTGCTGTGCTAAGGCCTGGGGCTTCATTCCCTTGCCCTGTGGTAAGGGGACATCAGCTTGGCCAGCTCTTGCACTCTGTACAGGTCCAGCCATGGCCAGAGGTGTCTGATCCCAGGCAGCCACTGACAGGGAGGGAGGTGCTGACCTTCTCTCAGGGTGTTTTTGGTTCCCAGACCAGCAGCGGCTGCTCAGAGAAGAGAACTGGCTGGCCAGCTTGCAGCAGCAACAGCAAGACTGTGCGGCAGAGAAAGAACTTGAAGCCTCTGTGCCAACTGATTCTTGGCCTCAACTGTCCCCATTGGTCCGAAGCCAGAAAAGGGCGGTGCCACTTCATCTCCTGCGGAGACGAGCTCTTAGGGCAGCAGCACGGATCATCTGGCGAAAAAAGGTCTCATTCCAGCTAGAGAGAATCTTCAAGAAGCAGAGGCTGCTGGAGGCCCAGAAGAGACTGGAGCAGCTGAAGGCATTGTGCTGGCTCCAGGATGATAATCCCCAGGAGCCTCCACACCAGGTCCCCAGCCCCGATGCCATGGTCCCAGGGCATCAATGTGGAAGCACATCGACAGGTTGCAGCTCTTTGAGCCTCCGAAGGCTCTGCCTGCAGCACTTGCCCCAGCTACGCAGGTATAGCCAGCAGTTGTCACCTGGAGGCTTTGGCTGCGGTTTGCAGCCTTGTCGCCCAGGCCATTTACTTCCTCAGTCTGTAAAATGGAAAGATGTGTTCCTCATCACCCTTTCCCTCTTCCAACTCCTCTTCTTTCTCTGTAGTTGGTATCTCTTAGGACTCAGGCTTTTCTCTTCTCCCACTCTGACAGGCAACACTTGCTTCTTTGAGGTAGTCTTCTGAATGAGCCTTATTATTTATCTTTAGATGCTGACTGTCCACTTTCATCTCTTTGTGTGTTCGTGCCCCATCTTCATCTCATCTTGCCTCAAACCAGACTCTGTTCCCACATATCTCCTCCCCCTCCCTCCCCACCTGACCTGCCACCTCAGGTGAACTTCCTGACCCTACCCCCAACTGCCAAGCGAGTGGAACACTATTTTCTGACTCCCAGGTTCAATTTGGGATCTTTCTTGTTTCTTTTCTCTTTTACTCCTTACATTCAGCCAAGGTAAGGACTTATCTCCCAGACTGCTTGGAACAGGGGACTGTGTCTACCTCTTTATGTCCTCTGGGCCTAGCACAGGCCCTGCCCATAGTAGGTACACAATTCATGTCTGTGGTGTTATGTTTGTTCACTTTTCTGGTCTTCAGAGCAGTAGGCAGTCTTTAAAAACAACAACAACAACAACTTTATTTTGAAAAAAGTTTAAACATATACAAAGTTGGGAGAAGAATACCGAATACTCGCATTCAGCAGTTATCAAGATTTACCACTTGCTTCATCTCCCCTCCTCCCTTTTTCTGATGAAGTATTTTAAAGCAACTCCTAAACACATGTCATTTCAATCCTGCATCAGGGGTGCACTTTTAAAACATAAGGACTTTTCTTATAACCACATTTCATTATCACACCTAACAAAATTAAGATGATTTATTCAGTATAATCTGAACATAGGCCATATTCAAATTTCTCTAATTGCCGCAAAAGTAAATATAGTTAGTTCAAATTAAGATGTAAATAGGATTTACACACTGCATGTGGTTATTTCTTTTAATCAATTTTTTTTGTTTTATTCATATCACTGATTTGTTAAAGAGAGTGGGCCAGTTCTTTAGGATATGCCATATTATAGATCTGCCTGATTCCTTGTAGTGTCATTTAAGTTGTTCCCTTGCTTCTCATATTACCTATTCACTGAAGTCTTCTTTAAAGGCATGATTAGATTCCGATTCAGTTCAACTTTTTCATAAGATAACAAATTGAGAAACAGAGTGTACCTGAGGCCTCTTTGAGAACTAGGACTATGGTCCACAGTTTCCTTTTGTACCTATGGAGCTTTTCTCTGATACCAAAGATTATAGAGGACAGTGACATTGGCCTAGTTTTTAACCTCTTTCAATGCAAAATAGGTGGGACTTTACAGTCTCTGTATCAGCAGGAAGTATGACTGCTTTCTTTTCTGAGATGGCTTTACTTGTCTCCACAGTGTTGTCCTGAATCGAGACCCCTCCACCCTGTTACCTCCTACACCCGACTCTACTGATCAGACATCAGAGAAAACCCAATCAGAAGAATCCCAGGCTGCTTCTCACTCTCCAAAGACAGGTTGTTTCAGCAAGAATGTCCTCCATTTCTCAGGTGAGGGGCAGCTCTGCACAGCCAGGGTAGCCTTGGCCAGGAGGAGAGCCTCGGCCCCAGGCACCTGCTTCACCATGAGCTCTGAGTCTTCCAGCATCCAGGAAATGGAGAGAGTAGGTAAGCAGCCCCGCCGAATGGTGTCCCGGAGCTTAGCATCTCTGGGCCAACCAGCTAACAAGTTGAAGCCAAGGGATGAGCCAGAGGCCCTCACACCTTCCACACAGACCAGGAGGGCTAAGGGACTATCAGACTCTGGCCACAGACTAGCATGGTGGCTGAAAGAGGGGGATTTTGGGACCCACAAGGCTGCTAAAGGAGCCAGTTACAGTTCCTCACATCCCCGTGGATCCAAAGAGGCAGCTGGAAGTGGAAAGGCAGTCAAGACTTTTGGGGCAGAATCCAAATCACCTTCTCCAAGAAGGGCATCAGAAGGGCAGCAGAAGGTGCTGGCAACTAGGGTCAGAAACATTACCAAAAAGTCATCTCGTTTGCCTCATGGCAGCCCTTTGAAGAGGCAACACAGTGCAGGGAACCCAGACACCATGGCCTCTCTCATAGATGCTGGCCCAGTAGTAGATCACACAAGAGAAAAAGATGGTGATTTGTCAGATGCAGATAGCAGTTACTCGGTGGATTCTCTCTCCTGTGTCTGTGCCAATGCCCCGATGAAGCCGCCGAAGCCAGGGAACCCCCAAAGGAAGGAATGGCATCTCCCAGAGCCAGAGAACACAGAAAGTGACAACAGCCAAATATCTGAGGACTCGCTGACTGAGAATGGAAACCAAGGTCCACAGGACAGCCCAGGGGGCAATTATCCCATCAATGACCATGGCCACCCCAGGGCCAGAGCTAGAGCCTCTGTGAGGGGCTTTACCACATCCTCAGACAGTGGACTATTTGCCCAGGCTCACAGGAGCTTTTCACTGGATAGCCTGATTGATGCTGAGGAAGAACTGGAGGGAGATCATCAAGAAGACCCTTTCTTCAGTTCAGCTGATGAGATGCCAACAGAGACATTTTGGCACCCTCAGACCCCCAGTCTACCCATAGTGGGCCAGGAGGCAATGTACAGGCTTGATCCCATCACCAAAAGAACAGGAGCCAGGCTGGATGCCATCCTGCCAATGAGCAGTTCATTTTACCTTGATTCCAAGCCTCAGCCCCACTGTGAGCAGCCTGAGTTGAAGGTGGAGGCAAGCTCCTCTGAGCAAGCCAACACTCTCCAAGGCATGCAGGTTTCAAGAGGGAGCCCTCTGTTGTCTATGGATTCCTGGTTTTCCTGTGATTCCAAGATCAATCTCAGTAGCCCCCTAGGAATAGTGGGTTCTTTATGTCCAAGCCCTGATGTCCAGGAATTTCAGCTCTGTGGTTGGGAGAGGCCTGGATACTGGCCAAATATGGAAGGACTAACGCCATCAGGTTCAGAAGCAGTTCTGCCCTACACCTCCAAACTGCCCCCAGGCGGTGCTGAGCTGCCCTGCAGTGTAAGAGCTGTGTACACAATTCCTGCTTCTGATACATCCAGGCTGTCACTCTGGGGGTCTTACAGGCTTCTTCAGCCAGGAGCTGATGGCACCTTTCAGGCCAGAGTCCCTGACACAGCCCAGCAGGGCAACTCTGAAACATCAGACAACTCTAATGTGTCGAGCGTGCTGCCTGCCTCTGCCACCTCATTTACTCATGTTAGCAGTGCCCGTGAGAGGGACTGGGCTGCCCTTCAACAGGAGTACCTCCTTGAGCTATCTCATCCTGTTTTGGAGGCCACAGGAGAGCCCAGGCCAGCTTTCACCTCCCTCGAGGAAGATGCTGATTCCCTGACCCAAGCTTCTGGCAAAGGAGGAGATACTCTATTGGCAGTTGGTTCTGGGGTATCTAGCAGTTTGAATTTCAACAACTTTCCTATTCAGACATCCAAAATTAGGCATTTGAGGGCAGAGAAAGAACAGGACAGTTCGAGTGTTGAGTTAGAAGGTACTTCAGATTTCTTTACAACTAGTGAGAAAGAAATGAGTTACAGTGGAAATTACTCAGCAGATGTAGAATCATTAACTTCTGGAACTATAAATGCACAGGTCTTTGCAGCAGAGAACAAGGTAGCAAAGTCCGTGATAGAAGCATGTGAAGTCAAACAGAACAGCTTGGAAGAGCCCTCTCAGAGTAGCGGGAGGAAGCCTGGATTGATGACTTCCTTTGATGAATGTTTCTTTCTGAAGAACCCTAGTCACAGTAATGTCACCATAGCCACCATAGAAGACCATTGGCCCCAAGGCTGTACACCTCTCAGGAAGAACAGTATAGGCCAGGCAGGGCAATTAAATCACAACAGCCACCACCCCCAACAGGAAGAGAAGGCAGACTACCAGGAGAGCTCCAAGGAAGTGGTTGGAAGACACACCAGTCTTTCCTTTGCCTTTCCGTCGGGTCCAGAGCTGTACCTGCACTCTGCTCCTTGGAATTCATTCCCATCTTCCCTGCAGCCACCTCCCTTAGAAACGTTCTATGTGACCAAAAGCCGGGATGCCCTGACAGAAACCGCCTTAGAGATCCCAGCTTGCAGAGAAGCGAGAGTGCCTTCCCCACCACCCAGGGAAGCCTGGGGCTTTGGTCATGACTACCAAGTCCTCCAGAATGTTTATTTAAAGAATAATTTGTCAGTGCTGTTACAGAAACAGAATTCCAAGATTGCCTCATGTAAGCCTGTCTCAGCAGAGATGCCAGTTGATCTGACCACCAATGAAGTTGGTGGAGAAATAGGGAGATACCCTGGAAATATTAAAGAAGAAAGCCATAATTCATTGTATTTTTTCGTTGCTCAGAATGGACATTTTCTTACTTCTACCAGCACAAAAGTATGTGAATATGAAAATCAAGTTGGAAATTTAAATAAACACAATCTTCCAGAACTCCAGGAGAGAGAAAAGACTACTATACAGTCCTTTAACGCTTCTTCTGACAGTTGTGGGTCTGGGAAGCCTCTTCTTGTTTGTGAATCACGGGCTGGCAGGGAAGAAGAGCAGGATCAGAATGCAGTCCTAAGACAGCCCCAGGCCTCTGATATGAACAGACCGTTCCCTTCTGGGGCCAGGTCTGATTTCATCTATAAGACCATCCGTTTAGGCCTTGACAAGGACAAGCTAGGGGAAACTGCTCTTTCTTTGAAGTCTAGATCATCACATCTTAGAGTAAGCAGCCCAGAGATAATGGCTCAGGATGGGAGTCCAGCCTACAAGGAGGATGGGAAGAATGAAACTGAGTGTCCTGGAAAATCTCTCCATCCCAAAGACAGCTCAGAAGAGTTTAAGCTTCCATGCATAGAGTCTACACATGAAAGATTCCAGTCAGTTATATACCCTCAGGGAAGAAACCTCACTGAATGCAAGGGCCCTAGAAAGTTGCAAGAAACGCTAAATCCCAAAGAACCACCTTCTGGAAAGAAACAGAATAAAATAGTTAATAATGCTGATGAACTGGCTAGGCTAATTAAGAGTGTAATGCAGTTAGAAAATGGTATCTTGGAAATTGAATCCAAGCAGAATAAGCAGCTGTATGCTTCCCAAACACTGGGATTCAGTGGTGAATTTGTGCTCCAGCACCAGGAGAGGGCTGACCATGTCCTGAGGCCAGGCAGCTCTGGAAACCACTTGTTTTTCAAGAATCAGCCATCTTCTCCAAAACAGACAGATGATGCTATCTTTAGGGATGGTGAAGCTGGAGAAATAGAGGCTGACAGTAGCACTGGGGAAGATCTCCAGGTCCACAAAATCACCCTGAGTCCCTTCAAGTCAAGAGAATGGGTACAAGACATTAAATTTGTGGGAGAGCACAGCCCCCCATCTGTATTAGACAAACCTGCCTGGGACACTTGTGATTATTTAGGGACATGTACAACTCACAGTGAGTGCATCAGAACTTCTGTTAATCCAAGGAGAACAAAAGCACTGGCTGGAGCTGTACCATTGCAGCCCGGGCTCGAGTGGCCCTCTGAGAAGGAAAGCGAGTTGGTGCTTGCACTGGCGAGCCACAGAGGGCATCCCTGTGGCTTAGGGAGTCTTGAGGAATCAGAGACTGTGAAAGGTTTTCAGGAAAGCCAAGTTGCCAAACATATATGTAGTTTTAACCCAGAGGAGCCAAAAGTTCAAGGCAGAGTTAAAGAAATGACTGTGCAAAGAAGAGAGAGCCTACAAGACAAATACAAAATGGTCACATCGACTCAGAAACTTCTTAGTCCGAGCCAACGTTGTATGGGCACATTTTTCACCCAGGACACCAGCCCATCACTGAGCCAACCAGATTCCTCTGTGACTCCTCACCAAGACTTGAACAACACCTTGCCCTTGAATTCCCCGAGACTGCCAGGAAGCTATCTTCAAGTGCCTGATGCTGTAGGCCTTTCTTCAGTTGACTGTGTGCTGGATCCTACGGTGCTGAAAATGCCTAACAGTCCCTGGGTAGCTGAAGCAGGAAGTCAGGGCCAGGGTGGAGAGCCCGGAAGCCACAGCCTCCAGGGAAATGTTCAAGAGGGCTCTTCCATGGCACGCACTGCTTGGTGTGGGTCTGCCATCTTCATGGCCATGGGATCTTGGGATCAATCCAGTGCACCAGAGACCATTCCCCTGGGGGCTGAGGGCTGGATATCAGCAAGCTCCAGCCCCCAAGACCAAGGAGGGGGGCCCAGAAGCACCAGGGTGGGCTCTGTTTCTGAAGCTGAGGCAGCTGTACAAAAAGAAACAGAAAGAGTTAGTTCCCTGAACAGGGTCTCTAGTTCACTTGAAAAGAGGGCCAACTGTCCCTTAGAAGAGGGTAATGACCAAGGCAGGGAGATGAAGCAGAAGGCAGAGGTGGAAGCCAAGGACCCTAGTCCTATCAGTGCTACTTGCTCAGCACCTGTGTCCCTGGAGCCACGCCTGGAGCCCTCTACCCGTACGTGCACTGGCCTGGCTGTGTTGGAGGAGATCAGAGAGACAAAGACCCACAGAAAGCAGCTTCATGACTTGGTGGTTGAGGGCACAGCCCTTCCTTATTATGAGACTTTATTAGAACGTGAATGTTCTTCAAGGGCCCTTGGCAGGCCTCAGTGTCAACAAATGGACCAGCCAGTGTCAGACAGGCTCGGGAGTGAGGGTGAAGCACAGGGATTTCATGTGGCATCTCCCTCTGCTGAACCAGGATGTCTGTGGACCGATAAGAGGAAAGTCCTTAAGACCACATCCCTTTCTGCAGACAGCTTTCAGCCTCTGCTCAACACTGACGTTAACAAAGGGCAGCCCTCACAGACCTTCTCCCATGCTGACCCTGCTCTAGGAAAAAGCCATTATTCTGGAGAACTGAGACATTTCCTGAGAGCAGGTGAGCAGTGTATATGTCACTCTGGTCCTTTTGAAGTCATAGAGAAAAAGAAAGAAGCAACTGGAATACCTTCTGTTGATCTTGTAGGCTCAGACAGTCTTCCTTCTTCATCAGCTATAGAGGAGGACAGGAGGGTAACACCAGAGAAAGGAGTGGCTGCCTTGTCTTCTCAGGGCCCTTCAGACAGTCCTAGAGTGAGTGGGCATGGGCAAAGCCGGTTAGTTCCCTGGGAAACAGCAGAGGGCATGCCCCCTGGCAGTCAGGAGGGCAGCCAGGCACACCAAGAACCTAGAACTCTAGACACCACATATGGAGGAGGGTCAGGTAACTTCATAGTGGCCGCACAGGGAGGAAAAACAACCTGTTTTGAAAGTCAGCCTGTGATCTGTGAAGTTGAGAATTCTGCCCGTCTCCCGAGGCCTAACCAAGACCATGCCCAAGACCTCGAGGCTTCCAATGGCTTAGAAGAAGGGAGGGCAAGTCGCAAACAAGGCACCATCCCGCCCGGAGCCCTGAAAAGAGTTGAGCTGGAAGCTCCCTCACAGCAGTGTGTGAAGGAGGGGACTGTTGGTTCTGGGCTGGCAGAAGCCTGTGGGGCTGGCAGCAGACATGTCAGGCCAACTTCATTGCCAGATCAAAGACCTAGCCCAGATCCGGGGGTAGTTAGGGAGGAGGCCCTGTGCAGAGGTCCACAGGAAACTTCAGATTATGTTTTCTTGTCAGGGAGCATTGAAGGCAGAAGGACTCTCAGCCCATCTGAGGGGCAAGAAGACAGGAGGACTCTTCCTTGCCAACAACTGTGTAACTCTCAACCCATTGCTTCTCATGCCTGCTCCTCCCCGTCCTCCACTTTACTGTGTTCCAGAGATGGTGACCTGGGCAAGGGGATTTCAAAGACTGCCCCACAAACTCTCCACCCAACCTGCATCGTATCCTGCAGGGCCTATAGAATGAATGATAGAGGAGAGAGCTATTCCAGTGACCCTGATGTGTTCTTGACACATGGCCTTGAGCCCAAAGGCAGTCATGTGAAATTTGAGCCAACAGACAGCAACACTGTGGAACCCTCTGCCACTGCTGCTGTCCTATCTCTGGCTCAAGGCTGCAGCTCCCTTCCTGCCCCCGATATGAGAACAAGTTCCCTCAGCCACTCAGTTGCTGTAGGGGATCCTGAGGAAAAGGTTGCTGAGAATAAAGCCAGCTCAGAGCTTGAGGCTGCCCCTTTTCCTACAGGTGTGTGCTCTGAGCCCCTGAGGAAGTTTCAGGACAGCTCAGTAGGTGGCCGGAATGCATACGAGTCTCAGACCAAGCCAGAACTACCTGAAAAAACCAGAAGACAACACACCCTGAATTTAAGTGAAGGGTCTGTTGAGAGTGAGTTGCTGGTAGAACCACAGCATGGCTGTTTAATAAATGTCATCAGATGTCTTCCAGAAAAACCACAACTGTCCACCGAGTCCAGGACTCACAGTGGCTTGGATCCCCAAGCCAGATTGGTAGCAAAGTTAAAGCACACCTCCAGTCCCCAGGTTGGTGGTCCCTGGGAGGAAGACAAGCAGCAGAGGGAGCAGGCCTCTGGTGATGGTGAAGACCCTGCCCAGGGCATGCGTCCCCCACATTCTGATGAAGGTGGCTTGGATGGCTGTCAGATGAGAGATGCAGGCAGAGAGGAGGGGGCTGCAGCCAAGGCCCCTATGTCCAAGATGTTCTCATCAGGCTTTAAAGACTCAGCCAGTGACTCCTTGGAGTCTGTGGCCCCAAGCCCTGGCCAGGCCTCCTCTGGCAGGGAGCAGCTGACTCCCCACCACAGGCGCTCACTTCCTGTGATTGCGATCTTCTCTGGCCCCAGACATTCCAGGTCCTCCCCCAGACCACAGTTCTCTGTGGTCAGCTCTTCCAGGTCTCTTCAGGAGCTGAACTTGAGTGTGGAACCTCCTTCCCCCACAGATGAAGAGACACAAGAGCCTGACAAATTGTGGAATCCACATCCTAGGGGCCACTGCTCGGAAAAGTCAGCAGTGGGAACATCTCAGGAAGCTGAGGGCTACAATCAGAAAGCCTTATCTAATGCGAACAGTAGCTGTGCTGATCACAGGCCCTATCAACCTGCCAGCCCTCCTTACCCAACGTCTTCAGCTTCCTCGCGCATGCCAACCCCCAATTTCATGACCTGCTGGATGTCTGGTACAGTCCAACAGGCCCGGCAGGGAACGCCAGAGCGCTTAGGTGGCCAGGCCAGGCCAGAGAAATGGCTCTCCGAGGCAGACAAAGGAGTATTGCACTTGAGCTCCAGTGACATCCACCCCTATGCTCCACCCTGCCATCCAGAGGGCCCTGCATGCATTGGCTGGAAGCAGTATGTGTTTGGCAGTGCCATCGATGTCTCCTGTACCCAGACATCCCAGGGCCTGGTACCATCAAAAATGGCCTGGTACTCCAGCATGGAAGACCAGAACTCCCCATTCCACTCCCATCTCAGCACCGCTGCCAATGCCCAGGGCCTGGTGAGCCGACCCAGCAGCATTGAAAATGCCCGAGGTTCACATGAGGCCTGGGAAGTATGGGATTCCTCACTTGCCTTGGGGAACCACCATGTCCTGATGGGCCCTGAAGGAGCAGCTCCCACTAAGGGTCCTGACAGGAGAGCCCAGTTCCTGGGCACCCCTGATGAAGCAGGCTCTCTGAGGAGTGAGCCCCCCTGGGCTGAAGGAAGCGCTGCAGGTCCAGTGGGTGAGATGCTGTTGCTGTCTCCTTCAGAGGCGGGCAGCCGCATGGGACGTTCCAGGATGAACACCTTGGAGCAGGGCACACAGACTCTGGGCTGCGGGCTCTACTGGAGCCACACTGACATCTCTTCGACTCATTCAGAAGCCAGTGCAATGCCAGCCTCTAATCTGGCCTCCTGGACCAGCATGCACAACCTGTCTCTCCACCTCTCGCAGCTCCTACACAGTACCTCAGAGCTGTTGGGGAGTCTCTCCCAGCCAGGTGTGGCTGAAAAGCAACGGAACACCAAGGGGGAGACCCCGGATGAGGCACCCCAGACCCTTATGATGGACGGCTGTACTCAGACCACTGTGGATGAGGGCATCCAGACTGACCTTGCTTCACCGCCTGTGCATCTCCAGGCCCCAGAGGCCAGCCCTCAGGAAGTCAGTGTCGTCCTTGAAGTGCTGGGCTCAGATATCTCCATCATGTCTCAAGAAAAGGAACATGTCCCAGAGGCAGTTCAGAAGAGAGAGGCAGAGGAAATAGCATGGAAAACAGCACAACTCCCAGATCTTCAGGAAGAAAGCACCCACTGCAGGCTTCAGAGCCTTTCAGTACACTCATCCCATTTGAGGTTTCAGAAGGCCCCGGTTGGACAGAACCTTCCTTCTGTGAACCCCCAGGCTTCTCCTGATGCCTCCCTGCCTCCCGGCTCCCAGCCAGAGGAACCCTCTTGCCTGGCTGTCAGCAGCCCCAGCCTTAGCATCTCTCGCTCCCCAGGACCCTGCCCCATTGCTGCAGAGTCTGTCGGGGAGCCTAGGATCCAGAAGGAGTTGTGCCCCACAAGTGCCTTGTTGGTGGACAGGGCCTCCTCCCCAATCCTCACACTTAGGGCTAGCACTCAAGGGTCAGAGCTTCCCCAAGGCTCTTTGTCTCTCTCAGCCCCCTTAGTGCACCCTCTTGAAGTCCATCAGAAGCTTGTCTCCAGCCCAGACCTTCCCCTTGATTCCCCCAGGCCTCCAGTGGATAATTATTCTCAAACCATTGATAAGTTAGGTGGCTCCCAGAGAGTGCGGGTTCTGTGTGGAGAAGGCAGAAGTTCTTTAGAAAGGAATGAGGGTAGGTCTGTCCTTGAGGTAAGCTCCCCAGGCAGCCCACAGCACAGCTCGAAAATCCAAGTTAGTTTCTCAGAGCAGCCCCTCCAGCAGCTTCAGCCCCAGACCACCTCCTGGGTCCAGAGCAGACTGCCACCTCTACCACTGAGGAGCAGGCGTCAGAGGCCGGCTGAGGGCTTTGTCCCTGAGGACATGGCTTCCCTGGAGTGTGGACCACTTAGCAGTAGGGGGCCAAATAAATGTCAGAGCAGGACAGAAAATGGAGGTGATAGTTCAGCATCTCCAGGGGAGCTGCAACCCACTTTAGACAACCCCTCTTCGCAGGGAGGCCTGCAGCACCTCAGCCCCTGTGCTGTCTCTGGGTTGACTGATAAAACAAAGCTCCAGGGCTCTACCTTGGGCCCAACTGAGGCCTGCGAACCTCAGGGGCTTCTGCACCCCAGTTCTCAGGTGTGCATGGCACCGAAGCCCCAGCATCACAGCCTGAGGGACCTCCCAGTACATAACAAATTTCGTAATTGGTGTGGGGTTCAGGATGGCTCTCCTGGGGAGCTAGGAGTGACGGAGTTGCTGGGATCCAGACATGATCTCAGCTCTGGAGAGCAGGGACAAAATCCCTCACAACCTCTTGACAACCAGAGCCAGGATCCTGAGTGGTCCCAGAGGGAGCAGATCCCCCTGCAAATTGGGGCTCAGAACCTCTCACTCAGCATGGAACTCACAGAAGCAAAACTGCACCACGGCTTTGGGAAGTCCGATGCCCTGCTCCAGGTGCTGCAGTGTGGGACAGGGGAGGCACTCACTGCCGATGCACCTGTGCTGTCCGCCTGGGAGGAGCTCCATGCCCGGTAAGGGACCCCAGCCTGGAGTGGGAGGGCAAAGGGTGGCCTGAAAGGAAAGAGAATCGAGAAGGCTATGAGCCTCCTCTTGCTCAGTTCTGGGATCTTACAGGGATCAGAAATAGATTGTAAGATGGAGAATGGTGTTCATGGCCAGTTTCAGAGAATCAATCACATTTTATCTCAGGCAAAAACAAACCATTGAGTCCCTCCGGAGACAGCGTGCTGAGCGACTTCAGAACTTCCGCCGAACACGAAGCCTCAGCCCCCAGAAACAACTGAGCCTCCTGCCTAACAGGGATCTCCCCACCCGTGACCTTGACTTACCCAGCAGGCGCCGAGAATACCTGCAGCAGCTGAGGAAGGATGTTGTAGAGACAACCAGGTACAGGTGGACCCAGAACCCAGCAGGGAGTAGGCTCTGTATGGGGTGAGTGGGTTATAGGGAGCATCCTGGAGATTGGAGGCTGTGGCTTCCTCTCACAGGAGCAGTTCCAGGAGTGGGTTGTCTGTACCTGTGGACAAGTGGAGGTGGCTGTGGGAGACTGGGGCAAAGGGAACAGAGGATGTGGGGGGGAGAGAGGGAGGGAGAGGTGGGCAGAGAAGTCCTGGGAGAGGATGAGCAGTAGCTGTGACATGCTGAGACTGCAGGTCTGAGCCTTAGAATGAGATATAAAACTAAACTTAAGACCCTGTGGGCAAGAGAGGGTGGATCCTCAAGAGTTGGGTTGCACAGAAAGTAAAGGCATGGAAAAGGGTATTTCATGAAATACTGGGGCAGCAATACTTACACCAGACAAAACAGACTTTAAAACAAAAGCTATAACAAGTCAAAGAAGGGCCCAGCAATTCTATCTCTGGGCATTTATCCAAAGAAACCCAAAACACTAAGTCAAAAGGACAAAATGCATCCCTCTGTTCACTGTAATGTTATTTACAATAGCCAAGGTATGGAAGCAACCTAAGTGCCCATCAATAGATGAATGAATAAAGAAGTGGTACATATATACAGTGGAATGTGACTCAGTCCAAAAAAAGAAATCTAGCCATCTGCAACAACATGGTTGACCTAGAGAGTATTGTGCCAAGTGAAATAAGTCAGAGAAAGATAAATGCCATATGATGTCACTTACATGCGAAATCTGAAAAACAAATAAACAAGCAGAATAGAAAAAAAATATCATAGATATAGAGAACATTTTGATGGTTGCCAGATGGGAAGAGGGTTAGGAGAATGGGTGAAAAAGGTGAAGGGATTAAGAAATACAAAATAGTCATGGTGATGTAAAGTACAGCATAGAAAATATAGTCAATAATACTGTAATAAGTATGTATGGTGTCAGATGGGCACTAGACTTATCAGGGTGAATACTTTGTAAGGTATGTAACTATCTAATCACTGGATTGTATACCTGAAACTACTATGTACATCAAGTATAACTGAAAAATAACAAAATTAAAGTAAAAAAAAAAGTGGTGTTGAAGAGGCCTGGGGTGTGCAGGCCAGGGCTGTCGCCCACGCACCATGTTAGAAGGCATCTCTCTGCCCCTCTGGTTCTTCCCAGGAGCCCAGGGTCAGCATCAAAGTCTGCTCACCCACCCTCTGACATAGAGCTGATGCTGCGAGAATACCAGCGGGCTCGTGAGGAGGCCAAACTGGAGATCGCCCGGGCGCGGGACCGACTGCGAGAGCAAACTGAACAGGAGAAGCAGAGAATCCACCAGCAGATCATCTCCCAGCTGCTGAGGGTGGGGACTAGGGCCAGCCTCTGATTTCAGGGTGGGCCTGGAGCCTGCAGGCAGACCTCAGACTGGGGCAGTCTTCACTGGTGCTGCCTCAGTCAGGGGATGTAGCATTTGGAGGAGAACGCTGGACCCCTGCTGCCGGGTCAAAGCTGTGCTCACTCTCTCTTTGCATGTCATCCTCATCAGACCAGCTCCTGTCGTTGGGCCAGAGTCTGGGAGGAGGCCGCCTTGGTATATAGTTGGGGTATGGGTGTGGGGAGGGTATGAGGCTGAGGTGGGAGGCACTGGGAGTGATGGGGTCTGGGGTGGATTCAGGGCTGTGGGACGTGGGTAGTGAGGGTGTAGTGAAGCTGGTTGACGGTGATCTGTCCTTCCCAGGAAGAGGAAAAACTAGACATCCTGGCCACCTCCAGCTCCATGTGCACCAGCTCCAATGGGAGCCTCGCCTCTGGTGTCACCTCTGGCTACAACAGCAGCTCAGCCTTGTCAGGCCAGCTCCAGTCCCCAGGCAGTGTGGTGAGTAAGCAGATGCTGCTGGGTACGAGCCAGAGCCGGGACTGCTAAGGCAAGAGTTTGAGCAGGAAGTTCTGCCTCCTGGAGGCCAATACTGACATTTGATGGACGGTGGCCTTTGGCCTTTCCTGTAGTTCTGTCTTTCTCTCCCTGTGAATTCATTCAACAAGAGTTATTTTGTAGGTGTTGTTTAGTCATTGGGGATATAGCAGTGAGCAAAACTATTCTTGTCCTTAGACTATTAGAAGGATAAATATTAAAGAGTTTATAATGATTAATTATTGTTGATAGTTGAAGAAGGGATGCTAAGTCAGGATAAAAGGCAGACCTGACCTAGTCTGGAAGCTTGGTAAAGATGCTCTGAGACTGTAAGGGTGAGAGAGAGTTAACGCAGTGAAAGCTTAGTGCTGGTAGAGTCCAGAGAGACGAGGGGGCAAGAGGACAGCCTTCCAGAGGGTCCAGCAAGGGAGGCTCTGAAGGAGGAAGTCTCTGAGGAACTGAAAGACTTGTGTGGCTGGAGTGTAAAGAGTGAAATGGGAGAATGACATAAAAAGGGGTCAGAAAAGGCAAGATCATGTAGACTCTAGTGAGAACTCTGGGCCCTTTCTAATCCATCCAATCATGTTACTTCCCAAAAGCTGCTGAAAAGCCTTTAAGTAGGGAGCAGAATGACGGGATTGTGAGAAGGGGGCAAGAGCAGCTCCGGTAGACCCGTTAATGACCATGGCAAAGCCAAGTGAGAGACAATGACTGCTTGGTGGAGGGCACTGCAGTGAAGATGACAGGTGTGGATGCAAAGAAGAGAAACATCCACAGGACCTGTGATTGACTGGATGTGGAGGAAAGGAGAGGGAGGAATTGAAAACAATGCATGCTTTGGGTTTGAGCAGCCAAAGGGATGGTGATGTCGACAGTGACAGGAGCTTTGGAGGTGGACAGGTTTTGTGGGAAGATCATGAGTCTAGTTTTGTATTTACTGGGTTGAAAGTGCCTGTGAGAAACACAGGGGCTGCTGGAATACAGAGCTGGAGCTCAGAGGTGAGATCTGGCTGGGGATATAAAATTTGAAATTCCTTTTATAAAGAAAAACTTCACATAGTAAAAAATACATAGTTTTCAAACAGTAGCAAAGGACACACAATGTCAAGTGCATATTTCAGTCTCCTATCTGCCCTCCCCAGAAGCAATCATTCATTCCTGTTTAGTATATTTCCAGACATAGTCTGTGCATCTATAAGAATATCTCTCTTTGTAAGGCCCATGAATGGAAGCATATTGTACCCACATTGTCCCTTTGCTTTTTTTCCCTTAAAAATATTTTTTTGGCTATTGAATGTCAGTAAATCTAGTGCTGATTTGTTCATTTTAACAGTTAAATAGTGTTTTTTTTCTCTTTAACTGCATGTTCTTAAATGTGATGTTTTGTATGGTTAATATGAAGTAAAAAAGGCAAAAAAATATATACATATATAAGGGTATATGGGGAAATACTCAACTACCTACTCCATGTCCTCACCCAAGAAAACAGTGTTGTTTTGTTTTCCATAGTGGGGGAGGGGTCTTTCTGGATAGAGCGTCTTTACTCATACAAAATAAAGTATGTATGCCACTGTTCTGTATTTTATGTATTTTTCCAATTGGTGTATCTTTACATGATGATCTAGAGAACTTGCTTTTTTTCTTTTTGATTGCTGAATAGCATTCCACTGTAGGGGAACATTGTAATTTATTTAATTAATTTTCTGCCTTGAGATGTTTTCAATTTTTTGCTGTTATAAACAGTGCTGCAGTGAATAGCTTTGTGCATGTGTCATTTCTTACATGTGCAAATGTATCTTCAGGATAAATTCCCAGATGTGGACTTGTTCTACCAGTATGTGCATCTGAAAATTTGATAGATACTGACAGATTTTCCCTTACAGATATACTGATTTTTACTCTCACCAGCAACAGGTGTAAGTCCACCTTCCTCCCACACTCTTGCCAACATGTTATCAAATGTTTGGACTGTTGCTGAGCCATCTGTTCATACCCTTTGCTCATTTCTCTATTTGTTTCGTGCCAGTTACTGGGAATTCTTTACATAGTGCAAGATAGCCCTTTCCTGATATGAATGATAAATGTTTTTTTCCCAGTTTTGCATTCTCTCTCAAGTTTACTTATTGTGTTTGGAACCATTCAGGAAGTTTTATCTATTTATCAGGTTTCCGTTTTAAAGTGCCTATGTTCTGCCCTGGCCGGTTTGGCTCAGCGGTTAGAGCATTGGCCTGTGGTCCAGAGAGACCCAGGTTCGGTTTCCGCTAAGGGCACATACCTCGGTTGCATTTTGTCCCCGGCCCTGGTTGGGTCATGCGGGTGGCAACCACTCGATGTGTCCCTTTCACATCGATGTTTCTCTCTTTCTCTTCCTCTCTCTCCCTCCCCGCTCTATCTGAACAAAAAGTGGAGAAATGTCCTCGGGTGAAGATAAATAAATAAATAAATAAAGTGTCTATGTTCTAAATTATAATTAAAAACACATTCTCCATTCCAAAGTTATAAAGAATTTCTTCTATGGTTTCTTCTAGAACTTGTGCCTTTATTTTTCATATTTAAGTCTTTGATCCATTTGGAAAGTGTATATAGTATGAGGTATGGATCCAACTTGATTCTTTTCAAATGGCTATTCAGTTATACCTATAACCTATAATGCTTGTTAGATAGTTCATCTAGACAGCTCATCTTTGTCTCACCAGATTAGGACATCAACTTTTCTTGTACTAAGGCTTATAATATATATTCTAGTACCCATTGCTCTTCTTTTTTGAAAATTTCCTAAGTATTCTTTCTTGTTTATTTTTTTCACTTTTTTTTTTTTTTTTTTTATCCTCACCGGAGGATTATTTTTTCTATTTTTTTTCCAGATAGAGTAGGAGTGAGGTGGGGAGAGAGAGAGAGAAACATCGACATGAAAGGGACACATAGAGTGGTTGCCACCCGCACAACCCAATCAGGGCCAGAGACAAACTGCAACCAAAGTATGTGCTCTTAGCAGGAACCGAACCCAGGTTTCTCTGGACCACAGTCAACGCTCAAACCGGCCAGGGATATTTCTTTCACTTTTTAAAAACTAATTTATTTTTGTTACATATGGTTCTCCTTTTCCCCCATTGACACTCTCCTCCTGATCCCTCACATCCCCCCCCTCCCCCCGCATAGTTGTCTATCTCCATTGGTTACGCATACATGCATATAAGTTCTGTAGTCTATGTCTTCCCTCCCCCCACTCCCCTCTTCTGAATTTTGTCAGTCTATCCCACATCTATGTCTCTGGGTCCATTCTGTTCATCAGTTTGTTTTGTTCATTATATTCCACAAATAAGTGAGATCATGTGATGTCTGTCTTTCTTTAATTGGCTTATTTCACTTAGCATAATACTCTCCAGGTCCCTCCATGCTGTCTCAAAGGATAAGAGATCTTCCTTTCTTACAGCTGCATAGTATTCTATTGTATATATGTATCACAGTTTGTTTTTTTATCCTCACCTGAGGACTTTTTTTTCTATTTTTTGTTCAGATAGAGTGGGAGGGAGAGAGAGAGAGAGAGAGAGAGAGAAACATCGACGTGAAAGGGACACATCGAGTGGCTGCCACCCTCACGACCAACCATGGCCGGGGACAAACTGCAACCGAGGTACGCGCCCTTAGCGGGAACCGAATCCGGGTCTCTCTGGACCGCAGGCCGATGCTCTAACCGCTGAGCCAAACCAGCCAGGGCTATACCATAGTTTTTTTATCTACTCATCTACTGATGGACACTTCTGTTTCCAGATCTTAGCAATTGTAAATAGTGCTGCTATGAACATAGGGGTACATATATTTTTTTCTGATTGGCATTTCAGGCTTCTTAGGATATGTTCCTAGGAGTGGGATCACTGGATCAAATGGCAGTTTAATTTTTAATTTTTGAGGAAACACCATATTGTTTTCCATGGTGGCTGCACCAGTCTGCATTCCCACCAGCAGTGTACTAGAGTCCCCTTTAGTCCACACCCTCGCCAGCACTTACTGTGTGATGATTTGTTGATGGCAGCCACTCTGGCAGGTGTGAGGTGATACCTCATAGTCGTTTTAATTTGCATCTCTCTGATGATTAGTGGCGTTGAGCATTTTTTCATATGTCTCTTGGCCATTTACATGTCCTTTTTGGAGAGGTGTCTATTCAAGTCCTTTGCCCATTTTTTTTTTTTTTTTTATCCTCACCCGAGGACATTTTTCCATTTTTTGTTCAGGTAGAGTGGGAGGGAGAGAGAGGAACAGAGAGAGAGAGAGAGAAACATCGATGTGAAAGGAACACATCGAGTGGCTGCCACCCGCACAACCGACCAGGGCCGGGGACAAACTGCAACCGAGGCACGCGCCCCTAGCGGGAACCGAACCCGGGTCTCTCAGGACCGCAGGCCGATGCTCTAACCGCTGAGCCAAACCGGCCAGGGCCTTTTGCCCATTTTTTAATTGGATTCCTTGTCTTCCCTTTTTGGAGTTGTATGAGTACTCTATATATTTTGGAAATTAACCCCTTAAATGATGTATCATTGACAATTATGCTCTCTCATATAGTGGGTTCCCTTTCCATTAATGCTTGTTTCTTTTGCTGTGCAGAAGTTTTTTAGCTTGATGTAGTCCCATGTATTAATTTTTTCCTTTGTTTCTCTTGCCTTAGGCATTGTATCAGTGAAAATTCTGCTGCATGTGAAGTCTGAGATTTTGTTGCCTACATTTTCTTCTAGGATTTTTATGTATTCATGAATCACATTTAAGTCTTTTATCCATTTTGAGTTTCTTCTTTATTTTTCCCCAAAAGTGAAAATTTATTCTTTCCCTTTCTCAACATTGTCCCCCCTAGTTACAGTTGACATTCAGTATTACTTTATATTGGTTTCAGGATTACAGCATAGTGGTTAAACATTTATATAGTTTACAAAGTGATCCCTCCAGTAATTCTAGTAACCACCTGGCACCGT